ATCCATACAATTCTAAACCTTATATTTAAGTCCATATGTCTGTAGATTATTCTTATCGTATCAGCAGGATACAATTAAGGAAAGAAGTTTCAACTTTCGACCCTAACTTGAATGCAGTATAGCCTATTTGCATCGTTGAATTTAATTTCACGCGCTTTGACCTTGAACTAGAATTTTTGGACAAGTGTTTATAAATACTTAAAAGTTTTTTGTGTTTGATTTTTTGTGGTGGGGGGGGGGGTTTTTTAAGCTACCACATTTTTCTATTTTAGTTGAATCCAAATAAATTGCATTTATTCTTGTGTTTATTAAACTTTGAAAGTTCTACACTCTTTGCGTAATTTTGCCTAATTTTAAATAAGACACAAAATGCTTAAAAACGAAAATTCGAATGTACCAGTCCTAAGCCTGGTTAAAAGCCATGAAGGAAAGTTTTTTGATATTTTTTATTTTCATGTTCTTTTATTCTTAAGATCATATTATTAGATATATCAGCAAAACCAACCTATAAACGTTGGCTTAAATCTATCTATCTACTTACGTATTAGTTATATCAGCGCTATCGTTCAAATAGTCATGAACGAGCAAAATCTACTAAAGCACTCCATAGAATATATAGGATTCAAATATACCGCATATTATCTCGATATATTAGCATACGATTCGATTACGCGTTCCAAAAACCGATATTTAACCCACTCGCTAGCTATAGATAGATGAATATAATGGCCACTCATTAAAACAATACTTCTCCGTAAACCGAACTTTAGCCTGCCGTAGCTTTAGTTGCCAAGCTATAAACGCTCTCCATCCGCTTGATTCCAGTGAATAGTTGAAAAACTTGTTTTCCACCGCAACCTGTACATGAAATATAATGTAATAAGTTCGGAACCCTACTTTAAATTTGTAAAGAAATTGTACAAAATTAATTTACCTATGAATATTTTTAAATCGGGACAATTTTTACCGCTGCTCAGGAACATGAAGTGCCAGTCGTATACATTCTTGAAATTTGTCAAATCACCTTCCACCTCTATGTATTCAGGTTTCTTGTTTAATATATTCGTTTTGAAATTGAACAGACTGTGAGGATTGGGTGTTTTTAATGTGGACAAAATGTTTTTTAATGTTTCATCGGGATTGAGGCGTTTTGGTTGAGTTCTGACTTGATCTGGCAACTGTAACCGAAACGGATTCTTTATACTTATCCTCGCTCGTTAAAACCCAAATAACTTAGGGAAACTGTAAACTCATCATTTGTACGGTCGAGAATTTGAAGCACTTACATTCCAGAGTTGCAAGCACTGTTCTTTCATTTCAGCTTGATAAATTTCTTTCAAAATTTTGTGTTTGCTAAATGCAGCTATCTTAAGTAAATTTTGTATTTGCCTTTCGCCGAGACTAAAAAGAAGTTAGATCGGATTAAATGGTGGTACTGCACTATCATATGATTGAATAAAGTTCAGACAAATAAATTCAATATTGGAATATTACGACATCTAATTATTATACTAACATGCAGTTACTCTTGTAAACGTATTCGAAAAATTCAGTATCTTCCTGTATGACGTCAATAGGAACTAGTTCTAAAATATCAATATCACTGTTAGTACTGTTCCATAGGATCGAGTTCACAGTGTAAAGGTGATGTTCTGCTGACTCGGTCCATGACCTCTTCCACAGACAAATCAGGTACCTCTCAGAATTTGCAGGTCTGGAAGTCACTGGTTTATGAATACAAACTAAAACATAAACATATTCATTTATTAATGTACGCCAACATAGACAACGGAAACCGCCAATAACATCAGCGAATTCATATTTAATTTATCTATCACACATGCTTTAAGTGTATTACTAGTAAACTTTTTGTTTTCTTTAATTCAATAAATTCATAATTTCATTAATTTAAAAAAAAACATGCATACACGCAATATAATAAAATAGTGGCTTGGCTGACACGGTTCCCGAGAGTCGTGCGATGTGGTTTTGGTACGATGGTTAAAATGTAGCTACATGACATTACTTGTTAAGTTATTTATATTTAATTCTTAAAAATTAAATTAAGAATTAAATCTCACTCAAATTTAAATGATCTATTGTGGCCGATCAGCTGACTGCCCTCTCCAAGAAAAATAGCTATCTACGTTAATAGTTAATATCGTGCGATTCTCTCGTACCCGCATATGTACGTACATGTGCGGTTACACACATGTGACGTCACCAAATTCCCGACCCAAAGCTCAGGGACCGTCTCATTGAAGTTGACAATACAACGTTATTTTTAGTAAATACGAAACCCGAGCGCGGTTTTCTTTAACTTGGTACTTTTCAATCAAGTAGCATCATAGCAACGGCTACTGCTATAAATGGGTTGCTCAAGTTACTAAAAATGTCGTAGGTTAGATTTTAATCTCTTAGCATCTATGTAGATGTTATTTATTTGGTCTCTAGCCCAAAAACAGCATGGTTCAGTATTTTGTGGAGTCATAAACTCGTGAAGCAACTAACATTAATTATTGTTTCGTATTGGCGTAGAATGTTGCGGCGGAATATTCCGTTAGGTGACGTCAAAAACGTGTTTTGGAGGTCTTTTCGTTGGATTGAATTAGAATTAATAACTGATTATATACTGGTATTTCGTTGAGTAGTAATGAAATTTTTAAGCTGTAATAATAAGGGAACAATACGTGAATCATTTCAACCTTAGTGACACTCTATGAGTTCTCTTTATATTGAATTATTTTCGTATCGATTTTTCTTCTAAATACGTTGAGCTGTTCCGGTGTGAGCGAATGCACATTAAAAATTATCTACTTTTGGGTATTCATGTAAAAATAACGTTGCACACAAAAATATACTGCAGTCATGTTTGTTAATTTACTAGATATTATAATTTGTATACTTCCAGCAACATAAATTTAAAAGCATAATTTGCAATCCTAAGGCGCCAATGACGCCTGTTATGTAGCCATTTTTTTGGGTCAAATAAAGGTTACCTTTATCAAAACATCTGTACATAATGTAGATCAAGCCAATGCTAAACCGTGTGAAGACATCAAATAGTTTCACCACAAAATGGCCGCCGGTTCTCACGAGCATCAATGCTGCTAGGCATTGACACAAATACAACTGCTTCGAAAGAATTTCTTGAATGTTTTCCTGTCCCTCTACTGAAAATCCCTAAAAACAATGTTTAAAAGAAATTAAATTTTTTTTAAATCTAAAACACATTAAAATTTGTAGTCTCATTTAATGTTTGTTTGATATCCATATAGACTAACTTCATAATACGAAGTTAATTCAAAAATAAGTGTGAATTCGATAATTAAACACGTCACACGCTACAGACATAACATTTAAAGGCGTCTTATGTAACAGGGTTTCCTGCGGTTTTCGAGTGGGTATATTATTTTTTTACTGTGATTACTGGTGACAATACAGGCAAATTTCTTCCATCTCACAATGTTAGTTAATTGACGTCAAGAAAATTGAAATTTCGTTCTCTTATCCCAAGAAATCGATCATTGTGATAATTCACTTACCCCATCGGCCATTAAAAAATGTACGCCTTTGTCTTCAGTTTGTTGCAAAACGTGCTCCTTTAGTGACATTAGATTTGATGGATCGAATATGTTACCGTCGTTTTTCGTACCATAATAGGGGTGGAATGTTTCTGGTGGTCCAGCGTAAAAGTCAGATAGCTTAAAATCGTTGGGTCCTTTTAGAGTAAAACCAAATCCTGCAAAAAAAAAAAGGTTGAGTATCATTTGAATCGTATCAGTGTTGTGTAAGTTTTTAATTCAATCAATTTAAGTTATGATCTGTTCTAAAAATATCGAAAGGCACAGTGCAAAACTGCATTTAGGTATACATAATATGTCTTTCTTAAACACCAATATATATATTTATGGAATACAATTCAATTTCAATTCAATAAAATATAATTTTCTGTTCGATAATATCACAAAAGCTAGACCCTATTTAAACAAAACTTTTTGTGATTTTTATAGGTCCTAATAACCATTTAACACCGGTGACAATCAACAACTTGAACACAGATGACCAAGAAGCTCTTCCACATAGAATAATAACAAAATGTTAGACATGCCACCTAACTGAACTTTAATTGATAATATTATTCCTCAGACTTTGACTTGAGGTCAGAAAGTAGGCAGCAACATACACATTGTTATTGTCTGTGAGCTTTGGCAATAGTTATGTGCTTAACGCATTACATGGGACATCTATCCAATTGTACTAATCCAAAAATGCACCTAATATTTCAGTTCTCAACTAATGCTGGAATAAGCTATGATAAAAAAAACTTAACATTAGATAATACTATTATTAATACTATTTCATGTTCCACAATGTTTCGTTGTTTAAGCAAATATTTATTAATTATTTATGATTTTTATTTTGACGTTAATATGGTCATTATTGGTACATACTTTTTGGATATAAATGCACAAAACTATTAGTGTTGATTGAAGTTTAGACCTGACAAGTAGTGAAATTTGGTATACCTTTTGCTCTCCACCCTCTACGGTATAGAATGTATTCTGAAAAGCCACCAGGACCAGCACATACATCAGCAAAATACAAGATCTCTTTTTTGTCTATGACCTCTTCTCCATTTTGTTTTTTTGGATTAGTGAAGACAAAATCACAAACTGCATCTATGTTCGCCATTTTAACGGCAGCCCGGTTTAAAAATATCACTGAACCAATAGTTTCATATGGATTGCTTCTAAAACGAGCATGCCTCAGATCTTCGTCATCTAAATCATCAAAGATTGTCTGAAAACACAAGGAAACAATTTTTCAACATTTTATTTAAGATATTTTTAAGAATATCATTTTGATGTCTGCTAATAAATAGTAATAAAATAATACAAATGATAAAAAACGGAACCTTTGCTTTCAAAACTCCTTTTAGAATATGGGGTTCTACAAAGTCTGTTTCGTCATCTATAGTCAACTTTTTTGATCCCTTCTTCAACCATTCCTCCAACTGGTCACCAGAAAGCGGTTCATCTGGGGCGGGACTCATCCAGATCTGTAAACAGTATTAACATTTACCCCCTTAGTAGATAATACCAGAAGAGTGTAATATTTAGAAAGCCCACAGTATTATAACATAAATCATGGAAAACCCACAGAGCCAACAAAAGTAGTATTTAAAATTTAAATTAAAAGAACAAAACAGAATAATAGAGCAAGAAGAATGAAGAAAATGCGTTGATTTCGTAAAGCATTGCGCCAAGCTGAGCCGGTGGTCGATGGCCAATATAGTTTGAGTTATCACGTGCCAATAATTACCATGTATATGATGCAGTGAAAAGCACTGAACTATAAAACACCAGCATCAATGAACTTGATATTGAACAAGCCATCAACAATAACTAATGCTTCCTCAATTAAAACAGTTGGATAAACCCTTGTGGAGACCTCTAGGTATTTCTGCAACATTATAGATTTCTCAAGTGTCCAACGTCAGACCATATAATACCCAGACTCAACGCACATTCTTACTCTTTAAGACTTCATCTAATTTATAGAGATATACTGTTAACTTGTAAGTTGACATAAATAATACTTACAACTTTTTCTTTTGCCTCTGGTTTGGATTCATCTGGAGTCCATTTAAAGTCCTCAGGTACACTACCAACAATAGAAGGTTTTAAGCCCAATCCTCTTCGGCCTTTTTGTGCAGAAGCTTCAACGGGCTCTGTTCGTCCATGTTCAAATTTACCAAGACCTTTACCCGGCTTGTAACCCATATTACTCATCATTCGCTTGGACTTTTCTGAATATTCTCCAGTATAAGCATATTCGGGATCATTCATGTCATTCACAGATTTGTTAAATTTTGTATCAGAATTTTGAAAGCTTGGTCGTAATGCGTTCTCCTCTTGGTCTTCATCGTTGTCATTAAATACAGGACGGTAATCTTCAAAGTGTTCGCCGGGCGACGAGCAGTTTTCACTTATACTGCTCCTACTGCTTAATCTCACATTTCGATCTGTGCTATTTTCTATTTCGGTTTTTCTTCGTTTTGTACTGTGGTTTGAATGATATTCATTTGCTGTATCAGGTTCATCTTCCGATTGTATTGCTGAAAGTAGATTTTTTTTATTACTTTATTGCTATGATAGTTAGACGAACTTACGGTCCATCTGGTATTAAGTGATCACCGGAACCCATAGACATCGACTACATCAAAGCTGCCCTACATATTGAGAAATCAGTTATAAGTCTTCTTTTTTTAAAGTATAACTATTGCCCCACTCTTCGAACCGAAAGGTATTGCTGCTTCATGGCAGAAATAGATAGGGTGGTAGTACCCGCCTGTGCGGGCTCACAAGGCGCCACCACCATTCTGCTATATGAAGAGCTATTGATAGTTTTAAGTAAATTTATGATTTTTGTAATAATTCTATTCATCTTGTTTTTTATTCGTGACTACTTCGATTTCGTTTTCGTGGACGTAATAAGTACATGCGAATCTGTTTTTATTATACTAATTATAAAATAATATATTAAATACAATATTAATAAAATACCTACATATAATAACTGGCTGAATGAATAATAATACTGAAAAATACTACAATAACCTAGTTTTTACCCTTAACCATTGTCTTATTAACACATTTAGGCCTTTATTTTATAATCACAATTTCTACAAATAATATTTTAATACAACGTAACAACTTATATAGTACTATATTTTATAGAAAGCAGAAAGTGCTACCAAAGGCATGCTGGCCTAACCTTATTAATACTTCGGTTTAGTTTCACCATGTTTAGTTTCAAAACTCCACTTCGTCTACTTCTTGCTTGTTACTTTGGAACAAATTTTTTACTGGTGGTAGGACCTCTTGTGAGTCCGCACGGGTAGGTACCACTACCCCGCCTATTTCTGCCGTGAAGCAGTAATGCGTTTCGGCTTAAAGGGTGGAGCAGCCGTTGTAACTATGCTTGAGCCTTACAACTTATATCTTAAGGTGGGTGGTGCATTTACGTTGTAGATGTCTATGGGCTCCAGTGACCACTTAACACCAGGTGGGCTGTGAGCTCGTCCAACCATCTAAGCAATAAAAAAATTCACTATTTAATAATTATAATTTTAAACGTATTAGACCGAACGTAAACTTTTTTAATATAGGAAGAGAAAGGCTTTTACATCACGGCTATTTATTAGTTTATAGTCGCCGCACACAGGCCACCAGCCACAACCACAAAACGTAGCCACCGACCTATTTCCTGTTGTTTTCATACATTTTATATGGACTCGGCGCACACGGTTGACGCCGGTGTCCGCCACACGCTACATATAAAATGTATGAAAATTACAGGAAATATTTCGGTGGCGGCGTTTTGTGGTTGTCGCCGGTGGCCCGTGTGCGGCGACCCTTAGAAGCATCCAGGCTTCTAAAATATTCTTAACTGTAAAATATTATAGATGCTTCAAAAAAGTGTTTTCAGCAATACAATTTTCAACAATTAAAATATTTTCTTAATCCGGATAGATATTTTAATCCATCTCAGTGCAAAACATTGATTACTATTTATTTTATTTACGTAGGTTTTGTTGATATTTGCAATGAATACCGTTTTCATTATTTTTTTCGGTTATGCAATTTCCTCGGTTTTCGCTGTTGTAGAACTATGTAAATAAAATTACTTTGACGTTAATTTGTCCAGCTAACAGCGCCCCTAGCGGCAAACGTATGCAAACGTTCCAACTTCATACAAATTTGAGTAACTTTTACGCTATCGAGAACGTTAAAAAACTCGCACTAAGCACACAGACCTTAAATAACATAAATGTTTAGCATGTTTACTATGTTATATCAAAATGCTAAAAGCAAGTCTTTTTATGTAACAAAACTACAAACCAGATCCATGTGATGTAGTTGAAGATGCACCATATGTATTGCTTCTCGAGCACTTCGCTGGTTTTCTGCTTTCTTCACTGCTGGAACCTTCATCTGATGTATCTGATAAGTATTTAATAACAATAAGTATTAGACGAGAATCTTGTTAACTTTGATTAAACGAAAATAATGAACGTATTTCATTGTTATACAAATTTCAATATTTATAACAGCTTGAAATGCGTGCGAACCATCCCTTCCGGTTCTAAGGATAGCCGTTATTCCCACAAAATCGAGGCTTTGATCTCATTTATAGCTGATAGCTGGTTCGACACGTGTATGGATATGAGCACGATAAGTATCAGCGTCAACTGGAAGGTAAGGTCCTCGGTCACAAACGAAACAGCATAAAAACATTTTATTTATAGGGTGAAAGTGCTCGCAGCCCTTCTTGTGCTAAATGGTTACGAAGTCTATAGAGATGTGAATGCCGCCACCTGTTTTGGGACATAAGGTTGAAATCTCATTTGTATTATTTAAGGGCAATCCCACTCTTCAAGCCGAAATAAACTGTTTCGCGGCAGAAATAGCTGATGTACCACATCCGAGCGCGGGCTTACAGTACGCCTTATCACATATTTGGTAAATATATTAGAAGTAAACACAAATGGAGTTTTGTATTGCCTATGATGAGAGAAAAGTATAATGGTTGAATTGATGGTGAGTGTGGGATTGATAACAAATGATAAGATGTAGAGTTATTTCAAAACTCGAACGGGGTATACATTTTTATAATCCACAGCTGATTGTCTGCTAATACCATATTTATAATGATAGATCATTAAAGAATAATTCGTTATTCGTGATGATTATAACAGTAAGCAAGCCATGATGAGTGAGGCTAAAAATTGTTGTATTGGTTGAATTGTTCAGCTATGATGTGTATTGTTTTGGTAGTAATTATATAATGCAAAGTAAATATTTTTTTAAATATATACATTGGCCACATTTTTATTATAGAAAAAAACTTGTCTTGCTTATTTAGGTAGGATAGTTAATACTTAAGTACTGCATTGAATTCAAGTTCAATAGAGTAAAAAATTAAACAAAGTGAAATATTTTTTTTAATACACTAATCAACCAGTAATTTATTGATGAAAAATATGAGTTTTCTATGTTGGGTTAAAGAATGTAATTGTCATTTTAATTTAGTATTTGCATTTTAATATAATAATGCAACTTGAAAAATGAGCCATGAGGAAGTCCAAACACTGAGTTAAATAATGACAATACTAATAAAATAAATGGTCTTATTGATCTTCATTATTACATTTTTTTTTAATGATTACAATAGATTGCTTGACAGGCTATTTTGAATAACACAAAAATGCACAATAAAATGCAAATGCTGCACATGCTGTTATAAACTCTATATCGAGGGGTGAAAGCCTATTTGGTTTAAGGGACATTTCTACAATTTCACAGGAGTGTCACTTAAAGTTAAAAATTTGGAAAAAAAAATCTTTACCAAATTTTTTTTTGAGCTATTTGAATGCTTACTGTTTAATTCAAGTTCAATGAAAAACATCGAACTGTTGATGCAAAGCCTAAATAAAATGCATCTTTAATTACAAATATAAATGAAACCAAATGGTCTTTCACCCCTTGATATAATCTGCCATACTTGCTAAACCTGACCCTGATCCTGATTATTGTTGCTTTTGCATTTCAGACAATTTTGTAGAATGAATGGCGATAATTTCAAGTAGCAGTAAAATTGCTTTTATATGCATTGTAATGTAGATCCACAAGAGTTTTATCACAACATCATTATGACACTTCTTCAACATAACATTAATGTGTAAAATACTTAATTAAATTTATTTCTGCTTATTTGGAGTTATTGTTGAATTTTTCAATGTGAATGGAAATTTTATACTTTAACTAATATATTGAACAAGGGTATGGTCTTATTATATAATTGGTGTTAAGGTGTCAGGTGTAAGCTCGCAGAATTATGTACACAGTTCTACCACAAAGGCTTAATGTGTTTCAGTTAGAAGGATGGGATAGTCATTATATTAGACAATTGAGGCTTAGACCACATGTTGCATGGTGGGAGGGGGCATTCACAATATCATGTTGATGGGTCTGGTAACCCCTTAGCACCAGGATCCGTGAGCTTGTTTGGCAGACTATATAATGAGTGAAATAATTAGTAAAGATGAAATTTGGAAGCTCTATAAATTGTAATGCACATAAGGATGTGAGAAATTAAAATATTTATTAAAATGATAAGAAGTTGAGCGTATGAAAGTGGTGTCGATTTTACTAGGTTTCCCAAGGCTCCACACCCTCTATCAAGTTCAATAAGGTCACCAAGACTTCAGCAACATTGTTCCCAGCCTTATTACTAATTCTCATCTCACATTGACACTCACAATGAGAGAGAAAGTATTAAAGAGACTTTCTTATCATTCAAACAAAAATATAAATAAAAGCTCTTTTCATTACTAAAATGATATTTAGATCTTATGATTGATCTACTTCATGACTTTCACAAGCTCCATGTTAAATTCCCAGTGGTTCACTATATTTATTGAAGATACTTGGTATTAGTTATGATATCCTTCGAGGCTTTTTGTATGAAACATTTGTTCACTTATAGCCTGACCTTTCACACCTGATGCAATTCAGTATTATTTGGTATGACAATAATTTCAAATGTTTTAGATTTAAAATTCTTAGTACTCCAAAAATTGGTACGTAGCGACTTCGCTCTGCCCCTGACATTGCTGACGTCCATGGACGACAGTTACCAGTTACCATCAGGTGGCCGTGTGCTCGTCTCCCTAGGTCAATAAAAAAAATAGATTTTGCCAGTATTCATAGGCCTTTAGAACATATGAGTGTACTTATTATGTTTATTTAATATTAGCTACAGTGAAACGTGGCCGCATTTAATTTAATTTAACTAGATTTTACATTATTATTAACTGTTACGGTTTAAATGTGGAAATTTTAATAGAATCTTATAAAACATACATAGTAATTATGATAGTAAAGTGTACCTGAGAGGTTCATTATGACGCCGCAGGTATGTGGTTTATGCTGCAGTAGTACGAATATTATGTTATGGTAAAGAGTATTTTGAAAGAGTTGGGTAGTTTGTATTTAAACTTTATGTCGTTTACGACATATCATAAACACCGGTCAGTAAAATCAAAAGTTATATTTCAGATCACAACGCAAATTCTAACCCTATGCTATTTAAATTTTATCGGTCAATCCTCCTTGCATTTCTTGAATAGTTATTTCCACATTTCTTGCTTATAAGCATAAAAGGGTACATAGCCATAACATTTTTAACTTGTGCATGTTAGTTTTATTATTTTGGTTTGCAGTACTTTGCAGTTTGCAGATTGTAGACCATAGATTAAACACTTAATATATTTGAGTTGTAGACTTTACAATGAAATTTTATAAGCTAACAAAGATTTTTTAAGTTGTATTGGCGACGCAAAAGAAATAGAGTATATACAGCCAAATTTCAGTAATTAAATTACCAAATATTCCTCATAAATGAACTTGCGGTCAACGTGGTGAAGACCACGGCAATCCTCTTCGGTCCGGTCCGTACAAGTGTCGTCCCGGGACAGCTCAGTCACCGCGGCGTCAATGTCGAGTTTGGATCCAGCGTTCGGTACCTGGGGGTTAATATCGACCGGGGTTTGAAAATGACCGCCCACGCCATGTCGGCGTTGGCGGCCGTCCGCTATGCGAGGTTTTTCCTCTGGCCGGTGTTGGCCTCCAGGTTACCAGTCAGGACTAAGTTCGACATTTACAAGACATATGTCCGTTCCAGTATCACGTATGCAGCTGCGGCCTGGTATCACCTCATACCGCAGCGTATGCGGGTGAGGTTGCAGGCCCAGCAAAATCTGGCTCTTCGCGCGATAGTAGGAGCAGAGCGTTACGTCAGAAATGACGTAATAGCCCGGGATCTAAATGTGGAGTCGCTCGAGGAGTTCCGGATAGATCGTAATCCTTACAAGCGGGCTGACGATGGATCCCACGAGCATCTTCACAAAATAGTTCCCTTGCACGCCAGACCACCTGATGGTCGGGCGCTGTCAAGGGAGCTACTAGAACCCCCTGCTATGGCAAGATAGTCGGCTTAACCGGAGTGATATGGGAGTGCTCATAATGAGTGCCCCCTCGGGACTGAGCTGTCCACACTCATCGTCCCCCCCCTGCCCTCCTATGGGGACCCATTTCACCAGCCCCGTGGGTGGACCGCTCCCCCCCTTATGGGGAGCCCGGAACGGGTTAGCGCCTAAAATTAGTAATTAGCGCCTTAAATTGGGCCGGTGGCGGGCCCCTCGTTCTACTGACTGTTGTCCCTGTAGTTAGTTTGCAAGGAAAAAAAAGGCAGAGGACAATACGACGCCGGAGGGACCCTGGCGCCGGGCGTCCTCTTTCAACCGGCGCAAGCCCATCGTATTATGTATATATGTCGATGTCATTTGTAGCCGAGCACGTTGCGAATAGCTCTCTCCCCTATAAAGCTCACCCTGCACCTACATCACCCCCGACCTGTGTGGCAGGGAGCTTCTGTCCAAGCAGTGGGGTTTCCCCGAGGCCCGTTCCGTGCCCCTGTAAGGGGGTACGACAACTCCTTTTATAAATGAACTTTGATGTTGCCGTAGCTTTAAATATGACTCTCTATGTGCTGAAATTGAGTGTAATGACCATGAAAATTTTTTGAAAATGTATTTCTCATTGTTTTTGACAGACTTCCACATTGAACGAATAACATCACCAGTAGCTACGTATAATTTTTAACCTGCACAGGTAGTGATGTTTGGAGGTGGAGCAGTGATACCCTTAAGATCTAGGCAGTTTCCAAATCGGCAGATGCCGAATGCAGATGCATTCACTGCAATACAGTTGAATTACGATAACCTCCTTAAAAATGTTTACACTTGTGTACACAACTACAGACTAAAAAGAAATCTATACAAGAAAATTTCAAATCTGGGTTTATTTATCCAATTTAATACATGTACTAGAATTATAATTTCTTTATAATTCGTAGTCTTTTATTAGTATAACCTATACTTTTACAATTAATCTAGAACATTGAGAACACAAAGCTTATTCATTCATATTTTAAGATAAAACTGAGTGTCTATGCACATTCTCATTAGTTATTCACTTGATTTCTTTCACATATGCATCAAGCTCTGCATCTAATTGTTCTGCAGTAGGTACTGGTCGTTTGCCTCTGCCTGCACCACCACGTCCTCTTCTGTTTCCCCCACGTGCTCCACTATTGCTTTGATTTCTAATTCCTCCACCTCCTTCAAAAATAAAATAATTAATGAATTTCTAGTAATTTGTTACTTGCAAACAGTAAATTGAAAATGTACAACAAGAACTAGTGGGAAAATAACAGTTTTAAAAAAGTAATTAATGCTTAGCCAGGAGAGAAGGGTTTGCTAACAGCTGCCTGAACACCTCTGGGGGAGGTCTAACACAATTCATGAGCAGCTGCTTTGCAAATGAATCTACTACCAGATCAGTAGTCTGTCTATGGATTAGGTTGCACATCAAACTCTTTAGAGTTCAATGAGTATGGTTACCAGTCCCTAAGCACGTTCCTAGTGTTAAAGCAGAAGGTGTCTAATGCAAGAGTTATTGGATCTGATGGATCCAATATGATGTGTCTACGACATCAACAGTTACAGTCTCCGGTGTGGGCAGAAATAGTCAGCGGAAGCAACAATATGGCGATTATCATGACCAATGGCCTTATCGAAGTATCTTTCCGACAATGACTAGGTGTTTCCAGATTGATTCGACTCAGAGGCCATCCTGTATATGGTGATTTGTCACAAATCACAATGATGTAATTTGTTATCACTCCTTACAAACAAATCCTGGAAAATATCTTACCTCTTTTAGGATTGTTTCGTATAGTACCCCCCACACTCGCACCACCAATTCGATTTCTAGCCTCGGGCCTTAAAGTATTGATTTCAGATGTTGCTAATTGTATATTCATTGCTCGTCCATCAAGTGGCACTCCGTTATACTGTTTCATAGCCTTCACAGCATCTGCTTTTCTTTCAAACACAACATCTGCAGTACCTAAAAAATTTAAAAAATATATTGTATGATGAAATACATAATGGAACAAACTAAGTTTTTATGCTTTGTGATACATACCTAAAGATCTACCTGACCGATCATAATGTACAGATGCACTTTTGAGGATGCCAAATTCCGAAAATAGTTCCTTTATATCTGAATCTGATACTCCAAAGTCCAAATTGGATACAAGCAGCTTGGTAGGACCAGTTGTTATGGTCCCACTGTTTCTTTGAAGTTTCCTCTCACCAAAATCATTGAACATATCATGTTTCCAAGTGCTGTTCACATCACCCTGAAAAGGTCATCCTTCATAGAGCTAGCCATGTGGCTACTCTCTATGCCTCCTTTGAATATAATAAAAACTCAAAGCTTAGGCACTAAAATTAATACATTGACATCTGAACCACTTGATAAAATAACATTTGATGTAGTTTACATGTTTTTTTCGAAAATTAAAATATAGAACTGTTTTATCACTTTCATCACACAGACACAAGACTAATAAGTTATGAAGCACAACCAGTCTCAGCCGTCCATGGAGTCCATTTATTTACTTTTCAACTCCTGAAGTCAATTCTATAAATTGGTCAAAACTGCACTGTAGACATCTCCACAAAAGTAACGTTTTGCTCGAATTCATTACACTTTTATATCAGCATCCATCATAGAATTTTCCGGCAGATGTAGGTAAACAATGCAAAACAAAAACGTTGATGGAGATATTAATATGGTTGCTGGGATTATGGTTTCAAGTTGAGAATAGGTCGGATACGAATAAAATAAGGGTCTTGATTTGACTCAAAGTGTCAAATTTCGTCTAAAACTATTTCAACAAGATGGTCCATATGGTTGCTCGACTTTTTGAGAACAAATTAGATACATTGATGCGTCACATTTGCCCGCCATTTGTAATTTTAGAATCATCTAATTATTGGAATTACCCTCGAATAGTTGGTAGATTTCGTTATGCCTCCACGATTTCTACCTCGTTGTACACCACCAGAGCGGTTGCTACGAAATCCAGCACCGCCTCCACGTCCTGTTCTTTTGTTTGCATCAAATTTTCTTCCAGCACCACCTCCAATCCTTGTCTTTTTGTTGGCTTTTATAATATCATCCAGTGCCATTTCAATTTGATCAACCATGGTGATTATTTGAAATTCTAAATATTTTTTCTATGAAAATTAAGTCAAAAACAAAAACAATCCTCTTAGAACTCTTCCTTCCCAAGTAGACGGTGACAAAATGGCCGAAGAAAAGTTTCGTTGTTGCCAGATTGCTAATATTAGTTCAACAGTAGATTGAAAAAAATTGTTGAGGTTTAAATTTGGTAGAAATTATAGTCAATAAACAATATCTTACACATCTGTCTTAGTTTATTTTATTTTACATTTACCAGTTGATTTGGTCAAATCTTTCTGTTTAAAAATTTAAGCGCTTAGTTTTAATCTTTAACTAGGTATTACAAATCAAATCACAGAATGCTAATGCACTCTAAATTCAAATATTAAGTGTATTATTTATGGTTCGAGATTTTTGGCGCGAGGAGTGAAGTTGTGTGTTTTATTTTGTCTATTTAGTGTTTCTCCAGGTTTAAATGTGTAATAACGATGGTTTATAACCTGTTTAATATCTGTGAAAGTGCACATATGTGGGAAAATGAAACAAAGCCGCTGAGCATAACTTTTTGGGATCCTCTGAAAAGTTCATTGAAAAAGTCTCAGTAAATGACCACCATTTTACTGAGATTATATTTCATTCCATATCATCTCATCTCATTTCATTTCATTTCATTTCATTCCATTTCGTTTTCATTTCATTGCATTTCATGTTATGTTTCATATTAATCAACTTCATTTCATTTCATAAATCATTTTACATATAAAAAATATATGAAAGATTACGCTTTATGGTATGATACCTTTGCCTTTCCAATAATAAAACTACTACTACTATCTATGGTTCGAATTTTGAATTTTATGTTTCCTCAAGCTTGTAAACCAATCCACAATTTAAATAAATCGTTTTTTTTGTTTTTAATAAGGTATCTGTACTTACATACTAGAAGCGATTTAAAAACACTGTTAAAAAAACAATATGACTGTTGGGGAAACAGGCCAGAATTTGCCATGGTATGAATTATCATTAAACAATGATTTAAACAAAAAATCATAACTCAATTTATTTTAATACGACGATTAAAACTTTGTTTTTACGCAGGGTTGAAAAATATCGCCCAAAAAGATTGGATGATTTAGTATCTCATGATGATATAATAAAAACAAGTAAGTATAAATTTCTGAAACTAATGATCACATTATTTTAAAGAGACTATCAAATTTAAGGCTATAAAAATTGGACTTGAATCAGGTTGATATTAAGTTGCTAACCGTAATACGAATACCTTATAACAGTTAATGCATAAACCCCCTCTTCGTACCAGTATGCTTTGTACATTGTAACATAAAGTAAAGGATTTTTCTTTTTGTTCTTCTAGAGTACTTTGTTTACATCTTAATTGAGGCAGCAGCCTTCCAACCACTACATCCCTATTTTTGTGAGATTAGGTACTAGCCCTAGTACAGTAATATATGTATTTACTGAGATTAGAATATTGTCATTACAGTAAATCAATTTATGAAAGAGAATCAGCTCCCACATCTACTATTCTACGGTCCTCCTGGAACCGGGAAGACATCTACCATTCTAGCCTGTGCCAAACAAATGTACACTCCACAGCAATTTAGTTCGATGGTATGTAAATTTTTAGACCAGTTAATTAACAGCAAAATTAAGAATCTGATTAGCATTTTTAAATAGTTGGTCATAAATATCGTAATTAAGTTACTTAGATTGCATCTAAGTAGCAATATAATTCAATAAGCAATATAATTCCTTATAAAATATAATTCCTATCTGAAAAAATCTGTATTAAAGAACCTAAAATGATAGTTGCTTTAATGAAAATTTACTGATTGCACAATACAAGGTGTACTAAAACCATTCCTGGAAATGAAGACAGGTTGCTGACTCTTAAATTAAAGCATCATACCAACAAAATATTTTATTTATTTATTCAATGACAATAAAAAACTAATATGTGGTATTGGAGGTTTTTTTAAAATACAGAGGATGGCTATAAGCTTCTTTTACATTGATTTTTTTGTTTACTGAAACAACAAGCATAGTTATAATATAGAATAGTTTATAGCATAGAATAGTTTGGTCCTAGTTTTGCTTTGGGTAAAGTTTTTACATCCTATATATTTATACACTAAAAATCAACTGGGTTTCTTGTTTGCAATTATTGCATTGCTCTGGGATTTAGGAAAAATAAACTATTTAATGTAGTTTACATTCAGAGATAGGAATGGGAGATGTTTATCTGCTATTTTCTTACTTACTGCTAGTAACCTCTAGGGGCTATACCAGCTACAGCAAAAGTGTAGGTGAGTTCACAGAGCTTCATTTCAGAGACCTTGTTAACATCTACTCTAGCAAGAGCAGGGCTTAGCTGAGTTACCTAATAGAGCAAGAATAATAAGAGGAAATTAATAATGTTAGTGGCCATTCGAGAGGTAGCTAGGAGGAAGCAACATTATAATAAATGTTTAAAACTGCTAAGTTGCATGTCTTATAAACAAAAGTAGGCTGATCGTGAAATTTCATTAACAGGTGTTGGAACTTAATGCTTCTGACGATAGAGGCATTGGCATTGTTAGAGGTCAGATACTCAGTTTTGCCTCAACAAGGACTATATTTAAAGCAGGACCTAAATTAATTATACTTGATGAAGCTGATGCTATGACAAATGACGCTCAGAATGCACTAAGGAGAAGTGAGTAAAAACAGCTAACAACTATGTGCTGTTGTAAATCTTTTTTTTGTTCATTTTGGCATCAGGATTTTTTTAGAACAAATTTCGTGCAAAATATTGCAAACAAAATTACTTTGAATCATGTGAAAGCGATGTGCATTCATAAAACCGGAGGCGCTTGTACCTAAAAGTGTCAGAAATTAGATATTTCATACGTGACTTCCAAAAATGCCTTTATATATGCATTACTTCAATCTAAATCAATACGATTGAGAATAAAGAGGCGAATTAGATTCCAAGAGGATCAAGATTTGCAACCTCGTTTTTGGGAATTTTTAGTTTCAGATGGTTTCATTCCGACGAAAAAATAAGTTAACTCCATATTTACTATTATAATTTGCGTAATTACTGGTGGTAGGACCTCTTGTGAGTCCGCACGGGTAAGTACCACCGCCCCGCCTATTTCTGCCGTGAAGCAGTAATGCGTTTCGGTTCGAAGGATGGGGTAGCCGTTGTAACTATACTGAGATCTTAGAACTTATATCTCGAGGTGGGTGGCGCATTTACGTTGTAGATGTCTATGGGCTCCAGTAACCACTTAACACCAGGTGGGCTGTGAGCTCGTCCACCCATATAAGCAATAAAAAAAAAAAACTTATTGCCTTCTCAATATAGTGTTCGGCGTCGAACTTTTTTTTAGCATTGTTGGTAAACGTGTTCAAGGCTCACTTGCTGTAAAGTGGTTACCGGAGCCCAAAGACATTGCAAGGTCAACGCCGCTACCTAGTATAGTATAACGAGGCGCCAGTCGAAGACTCAGTTGAGGAGAATAATAGTTTCATTTAGCTATTAATACTACTTCCTTAAATAGCCTTTAAATGTATTAAGTTTTTTAAATAAATAAAGCTAAATGTCCAAAAAAATTAATGTATAATATATAGCTGATAACTAATATAGAAATTTTCGAGTGATTAGTTACCATAGAAACCAAATTACACACAAATAAAACAGAAGAATTTTCAAATATTTCTTTACTTAATTGCTCTATTAAAAAATGTCACGAAAATTATTGAGTGATATATAAAAGTGTTTTCATAAAGTACTTTTAAAGTTGAGACAAATTGGAGTTATGTCAGATAGCGATGATAATGAAGTTCAGGGTCAAACAATCAAGATCACTGTTGTCGGTGAACCCGCGACTGGAAAGGTAAGTGTAAGTTATTCCTTAATGAATAAATAAATAAATAAATAAATTCACAATTGAATAAACCGCTGTACTAAATTTTAGATTACTACCTATGAGATTGTTTACAGACTAGTTTATGTACACGCTATCTGGGGAGCAATGCGAGTTATACAGGTGGAACTCAAGGAGCTGAAGTGATGGCCGGCCAGTGTCTGGGGCTCCGCCCCCCTGTGCCTCTGCAGTTGTGCGATGTGGCCGGTAACGCAATTCATACAAAAATGCTGGCTAATTACTTGTATGCCTCTGATGTAAGATTTATTAAATATTTAATTTTATTCTTGAATACGACGCACACGTATTTCTAGTATTAATATTTACTATCAAGCTATAAAGATCTTGAAAACACTTGTTTAATGTTTGTATTGTTGAACTGTTTACTTATATTTAAAGATTTATTATAATAATTTTAGGCATTTATTCTACTATGATAAATACAGAACTTCTGTAGTAAAGGAATGTTGAGGGGTTTTATTGCGAGGGATATAGTATCAAATTATGCTGACTTTATCGCAAATTCTATAAGTTTATCAAAATATTTTGTTACGAAAACACAGTTATAGAACATACTTCATGGTTATAATAATAATTATATATGGTTATGATATAGAAAAATTAAAACATAAAATTAAAACCGTGTACGATCATACCTTTGTATTATTAAAAGTTCAATTATTGATGAATAATTCTTATGATATGAATTGTGTACCTTCGTAAGAGTTCGAAGTTTATAGTCCGAACGTGGTTGAGTATAGTATACCTTTGAATTCTTCGGTATTGATTTTGATATCTGATTGAATTTTTAAGGGTAATGTTTATACCGTTCAACTTTACTCGATCTATTTCAATATTTCGTATCAATTCAATATACTGCATCACTGAATCATCAAATTTCAGATTATACTCTTCGTGTACGACTTGACAAATTTGCAAAGTTTTGAGAAACTGAAATTGTGGGTTTCAACTATTAAGAACATTATTGAATCAGAAACAAAGAAACCTCTGTTGGCATTGTTTGGTAACAAATCTGATTTGGAACACCAGAGGGCCGTCAGAATATCGTGCGTGCAAAAGTTTGCATCCGAACATTTGTTGGAAAATTTCAAAGGTTCAGCGAGAACCGGAGATATGGTAGGTAATGATAAATACTTTCAACTATATTTTGATTGTCTTTGATGAGACAAAAAATATCATTTCATTACATAAAAGTTGAACAATATGGTATGTTTTTATTTCGAGGTGGACTGACTAGGCATTCTAACTGAATGTGGCTAGTGCCGAATATAATATTATTGGCCATGTTGCTGAAATGTTGCCCGGTAAAATAGTACCGGTTTAATCGGAGTCTTTGAAAATACTAAAGTCACCTTAACAAAAGTAATGAAACAATGAAAAAACACATGACATGCTTTAAGGAGCGCTATTGTGTTTGGAAATTCGCGTAAAATATGACTTTATAATTTCCAGGTTAATACTCTCTTCACGACTTTAGTAAGTAGAGTAATGGGAGTGAAAGTGAGTCGACTGCCGCATTCGTCGGTCAACACAAAGTCGCCTGTGCTCAAGGAGAACGAAATAAATTGTCATTCACCGCTGCCCCTGCAAGCCGAGCCCACTCATACTCTCATCATGAATAGAAAAGCGTTGAGGAAAATCCAATGGAAAGCCTCTTCGACAGTTTGTTCTGTACAATAAAATAAGTTGTTTAAATGTTGTATTTTATTTAAAAAAAAAAAAAAAAAGTTTCTTAACACGTTGACTGCCATGTAGGTTACTGGTGCCACACGCGGCGCTCTAAAGTAATCAGGTTGATTTTTGTTATTAAAATTTGGCCTTTTATTTGTTAATGTATGTTTCAGTCTTTTAGATCTCTTAGAAATAGATTCATCCTCAGTATCTTCGGATTCGTTTAGCTCAGAGTCTACTAGATATTCCTTTGTAAGAAGAAATAGACATAATTACTTGAGTGCGCCGCGTAAGACATCGGTGACCTTCATGGCAGTCAACGTGTTAATAAATTAATCACGGATTATTTTGTTGGCTCATTGTTTCGAGTGTTTTGAACAAATTAAAAGTTACTAGGTACTTCTATAATCACAGATTTCGCCAAGACTACGCTTTCGACAAATAATAAACAATATATTTTAACCTATTTTAAATTTGACCACGGACTACCAGCAATAAGAAAAGTTTGACAATAAACAAATAGTATGCATACGTGTGTGTGTCAAATACATGGTAGTTGATGGTAGTGTGTGTGTGGTGGTCGTGGCACCGACGACCGCCAGTCCGGCATCCCGAGGGGGAGGGTGATGGGAGAGATGTGCTCCGCACTAAACGCTTCACTTTCCCCCCTTTGCCTCTTCATGAGTTCTGTCTCATGCGAGGTTTGGACGTTGGTTGTTGAGCGACAGGAGGTTTAGTCAGTTCGACTCTGACATACCCCACCCTCCATCCCCATCCCCAGTGGAGGACGGAAGTCCGGCGATTTCCTCCTGACCAAAAAAAAAAAAAAAGTTGATGGTAGTGTGTGTAATGATTTTTTTATCGATTTAATGTATTTTTAATGCATAATTAAAAAAAAATATTAACATTCTGCACTCCTTCTCTATATTCCCTATAAGTGTGGAAAATTTCATACTCCTCTGTCCGCGCAATTTTCGTAAAAAGGTACCTATACAAAGTTTTTGCTTCACGTATTAATATATAGATTCTCGTACGTTTCAGTTATAGAGAAGTACACCGAGAATGTAAGGTTTTGCATAATATGCAACTACCTGGGTAAAATTATTCCAGCATTACAGTCGCGGTGTACGCGATTTCGTTTTGCCCCTCTCAAGCAAGATCAAATTGTGCCGAGATTACAAGAAATTGTCACAACGGAAGGGTACGTGTTTCAAATTCATTGATTATATCAGTCTCGCATTTTATTTGTCGTCTCTGCAGTTTTGCACACTATTGCAACGAAAACACGTTATTTTTATTGCATTGACTTTTCTTTGAAGTGCATGAATAATCTTACCAAAACGTCACACGTAAAAATTAAAATCTTTGATGCTTCTTAATTAACTTCGCGCCAATTAATTTTTAGAATTATTAATTATTTTAATATTACATCAACTATTCTTATACAAATATGTACACAAGCGAATTGCGCGATTTTAGCATTTGCAGATAGTATTAACATCTTTACGTAATCGTTTTCAAAGCATTGTTAATTTGTATTACTACCGACTCAGAAAATCAGTAGTTGGTATTAACTTGAATATCCAATGATTTCAGTGTAAAAATGTCAGAGGGCGGAATGAAGGCGCTTCTCACCTTGTCCGGGGGTGATATGAGAAAGGTTTTGAATACGCTTCAAAGCACGTGGCTGGCGTATCGTGACGTCACCGAAGATAATGTTTACACTTGCGTCGGCCACCCCCTCCGCGCCGATATCGACAGCATACTCAATTGGTTGCTAAACGAAAATGATTTTTCCGCCTGCTTTAAATGTATCCTTTATACGTACCTACAGTAGATTGGGGGGAATAGAGACTAGAGTTAGAATAGGGACAAATCGGGGATGTCACAATACTTTTGTTGAGTTGTTAGATTTAACTTTGTTGAACTGAAAATGACTTTTATTTAGTGTTTAAGAATATGAAATAGTTTCATTTAGTCATCAAAGTTTTGTAACACGTTAAAGATATTAAAAAGTTAATTATCTAAAGTTAGGTACCTACCTACCTAACAACCAAATAGTGCCAGCCCTATCGAAAATCTATTGACCCCATAGATAACCTGATTCACCCCAAAGCCAAGGTGAATCGGGTCAAGCTAGCTTTTTCAGTTTCTGTGTATATTTTGTAATGAACTACATATGTATAATAACATTAATAATCATTGATAATTTGTTTTGGATTTGGAAAGGATCCCGATTCCCCCAATCAGCGATAAAACGTTTATTCAATTAATTTATTAAATAATCAGGACTCAAATAATTTCCTTAGATTGTTAAATAGCCATACAAGACTTGAAGATTGCAAAAGGATTAGCACTGAGCGATATATTGGCTGAAGTCCATACTATCATACAGAGAGGTAAGTAAGAAGTTGTTATTAAATTATCAATAATAATAATAATTATAATAGGTAAAATTTAATCTCTGTGTAATCAATAAATCAGTAAATTTGCTTTTGTTGAAGTGATGTTCAAAATAACAAAACGATATAGTCAGTAATGCTTATTTATTCGTATTCTGTAATCGCAGTCACTTAGATTCGGATAAATATTTGTGCAGTTGTTGTTTTTAATTTGAATGATATTTCAAGCGCGTTGCTATCAACTTGTTGTCATAAACCCATTATTGTATAATATCCACATGTGGTATTGGAAGACGTAGCGTGGGTAGGCCTCCCACAAGATGAGCCGACGATCTATTGAGGTTTGCGGGGATCCGCTCTATGCCGGCAGCGCACGACCGGTCTTTGTGGCGAGGCTTGGGGGAGGCCTATGTCCAGCAGTGGACCAGTCCATGGGCTCATAAGAAGAAGAAGAAGTGGTAAATATCCACATTTCAGTGATCCCAGTAATGTTCAGCGTCAACCCTCTGTCCTCACGCCAATAAAACGTGATGTTCACAGTGAAACTGCCTCCAGAAGTATTAGTGTCATTGCTCATAAAGATGTCAGACGCTGAAGCGAGGTTGGCGAGCGGAAGCAGCGAGCGGGTTGAACTTGCCGCGCTCATCGCGAGCTTCCAGATCGCTAGGGATCAAGTCAAACTAGACACAGAAGTTTCGTAGAAAAAACGTTAGTTTTAAAATCAAACTAAAAATGTAAGATATCTGCGACATACCTTTTATTGTGATGATAATAATATTATGTTAATTAAATTTAAGTAACTTTCAAATAAATGTGTTTTATTTCGTTCAGAAACCCCACTGAATTAAAGATTATCTTTTATGTATGTATGTCGGCGCTGCACTGCTATTTACCTAACTAAGATGTGTTAAAATTAACTGTTTAACTCCAAGGCTTGTAACTATTCAGGGGAATTCATGAACGAACTACCCCCACTGCTCTACATAAATATGTAGGTTCACGACGAAGGGAAAGATCTTCCACCGAGCGGGCGATATTTGACGGCCCGAATGTTGTTGTTCGGAACTTGTATATATGCAAGCTTATGTTGAAAATGTAAGCGAGATTCAGGCATATGTCAAATATCTTGCGTTCTGTGATGGCTACCGCCACAAATACCAGTGACTGTTGCCGCACAATTCGCTCCGTCTTCATACGTATAAATATGTATATGAACATACGTGATGTACATATTATAGATACATAATGATAATATGTACCTAGTCTATAATGGAATTATTCAACGAAGCTTTCACCGACAAACACGACAAGCCCGTAGGACTTAACGGGCTAAAACCGTTCTACACGGGAGCCCTCTTGGACGTCACAAAAGCGTTCGACAAAGTCTGGCACAGCGGTTTGATTTTCAAACTGTTCAACATGGGCGTGCCGGACAGTCTCGTACTCATCATACGGGACTTCTAGTCGAACCGCTCTTTTCGATATCGAGTCGAGGATACCCGCTCCTCACCGCAACCGCCCACGGCTGGAGTCCCACAAGGCACCACAAGGTCCCACAAGTCCTACAAGGCAAGAGGACGAATCCTCTCTCCGCTCCTATTTAGTTTATTTATTAACGACATTCCCCGGTAGCCGCCCACCCAGTTAACCTTATTCGCCGATGACAAGACTACTACTCGAGTAGAAACAAGTCCCAGACCCAATCTGCAGAGCACAGCCGTTAGCTGTTCGGGCAGCTGTTAGATAATTCCACGCTTCTGGCTGAGCCTTTGCTCGCCACCTGTCCTGGTGAAACTGGAAAGGCATCTGGGCGCCGGGCGGGAAATAATCCTTCAATTATAAAAAAAACGAGCAGGATAAAAAAAAATATGTTAATAGATTGTATATATTCAATAAATCACAATATTATAATCTATTTACTATTTAGAATTTGGGCATTCTTTATCTTATTCTTGTCCGGTGTAGAAATTTTCAGCACAAATGTAGGTAATAGGAGAAAATCCCGCATTGGGAGCGTTGAAATTTGATTAAAAAAAAGAAGACTTCAGTAAAACACAACCGTTTTACCATTACTATCGAGTTTTCACTTAATCAAATTATTCACTTATCGCAATTTATAAATCGTATCGCAGTAAAAATTTGTAATCTCAAAAGATTTCTGAGTTAACACCGCGGTTGAGTTAAGTGAAAATATATTTGGAATAACTCTTTAAAACGCGAATTAATAGTAACTGTAATGGTAATTAGTATATATAAGTATAATATAATTTAGTTTAGTCCGTTTAATTTGCTTACATGCTGTAACAATGGGCGAACTAATTAATATGCCAACACCAAATAACATCCATAATTATATAACTTTGACCTATGTTACTTTGTGGATATAAAAAAATTTTAAAATACATTAAAAAAAAATTGTTACCTAAGTATTCTTCTAACACGTGCTATCGCTGAATTCTAAGCTAGAATTTTTGTGAGTTTACCACCGTCCCTAACGTATTTGTAAAATTGTTTATAAACTTCGCTCCAAAACGTGAATCTCTCTGGGTACGGTGAGTTGTTTTTCAATACAGGAATTTCCTTCAACACGATATGATTTCTAGAGCAGTTGCTTTCTGTCCAGCATATACCCATGTCACAGGACGGGGTTGGATTTCTGAAAAATCATAAATTCACTACTTCAAAAACGTTCAAACTATTCAAGTTTTGTAAAATTCTTAATTGAAAATAGGTATATAAAATGTAAAAAACAGGAAGAACGCGGCTTTAAAAAATATAAAAGTTTCATAAATATTGCGGAATTATGTAGGGAAAAAAAATATTTACAATTATTTCAGATATAAATACTTTTGTTTGAGAGCTTACCCGAATTTTATAAAATTGGACATAACTGATACCATAATATTCAATACGTGTCTACTTTTGTTATCCAAAGTTTTTAGGTTTTCTTTAGTTGCATTAGTGACAAATAAATATCCTAATTCATCGCTGTGGCAAGTTCCAGGGTACTGAATATCGTGATATAGTTTACCCCAGTTCAAATCACCGTCGAAATCAAATTCGTAGTAAAAAACTTTGTTGCTTTGTGGGTTTCTTTTGTGTAAATAAATGAAATAGTCGACTTTATGCGTGAATGCTATGTCCGAAAATATTCGAAAGTATTTGTTTAAAGCACTCGTGTCTGTAGAATTAAAATACAATTCTTTGATGGATTGCACTAAGTTTCGAAATTCTGTAGAGTTCCGTGGATATTCAATATCGTTTGGAACTGTTAAATGAATGTTATTCTCCAAATCGTTTAACAGTGTTTTGTTATTTACTATTTTATGGTAAAATGTAATCCCTTCTAAAGAATTAATTCCCGCTAATACGGGTACATTTTGAATTACTCCCTTTTTTACCATAGAGGTTGGATCTTCAGTTAAGAATGCATCAGCAGAATCTGATTCAATAGTAGGCACGAATGGTGCAAAAGTAATGATGGGATTTCTGCTTTTTTTGTACATATTTTCTTGAGCATCAACTATATCAAAGGGGTTAACCGTTTTTAAGTTTTGCAACAAAATATCGGTATCATTGATTGATAACCCTAAACCACTCGCTAATTCTCTAGCATTCTCTATTGGATATCGTTGCAGAAACCTGAAATTCAGTGCACTCCCACTGAACATTATTACACGATGAATCAATGCTGTAGTTTTTCTGGACAACAGTAAATAATTCGCCATTGAGCTCCCAGAGCTGTTTCCACCAACAGTTATTTTTGTTGAGTCTCCTCCAAACTTGCATATATTCTCCTTTACCCATTGAAGGGCTAGTACAAGATCTTTTAGTCCATTATTTCCAGATGCTCCAGGTGTTTTGAGCGATAAAAATCCTAAAGCTCCCAATCTGTTGTAATGGTTTTATGTAATATGTTAATCATTTTATTCATCGAGTAATAACCAAAACTAAAATAAAAAATTTATGCGTTACTTGCTCACCTGTAGTTCATTGTGACTACTATTATTCCCTTTTTCATAAAGAAATACGGGTCGTAAATAACATCAGAATCTTTAGATAAAATTCTATATGCTCCCCCATGTATAAAAGCAAATACAGGTAAGAGGGATGTGTTTGTTTTTTTTACCGGAACGTAGACATTGATTCTTAAACAATCTTCTCCCATTTGATGTTTCTTGTAGGCACCCTCTGGTTGAATACAAACTGGACCGTTTGAAGAAGCATTTAAAACGTGAGTCCATTTTTTTTTGGGAACTGGAGGCTAAAAGTTGGAAATGCAATCGATTTGTTAATAAAATTATGACTAGGAATTTAAGTACGTTCAGTCAAATTCAAAACTGTATGCACTCGTTGAAAAACGTGTAATTCTAAAATAATGACGCTATTTTTGCAAGAATATTTTTTTTGAGATAAAGAGTAGGTCAAATCCTTTGAATAAAATCGTTTAAACCATACAAATATAAAGTATGTTCAAATAGTATTATGAGTAACTCGAAAGGCACGTAGAAGGCGTGAAAATTAACTAAAGTGATTAATGAGTTCGAAAAAGAAAATATAATCTTCGGACTATGGTGAACAAAGAATGTAGGTAATTCTAGCGTGTAGTTAAAGATCCGATTTAGTTTACTTGAACGTCTTTCATGAGCACGAAACGAGTACTGTGTTGTCAACAAATGAATGTATAATGAAAAACTGGCTTGTATTATAACTGGACCTCTTTATTTCGTCTTTTTCCTTAAATAATAACAATTACTTCTATGTAAGGTTGTTTTTACATCTTTCCTAAGTTCAATCCGCGATCAACCACAGAGCATGGAGGCAGAAAGAGAAGACTCTATTCTTACTCAGAGCCTCAGAGCGTTCACTCATGAATATGACAATGACATTTGCCACAACATTGGCAGTGACATCTCATGTGATGTTCGATTGTCTTTTCTTAACAATGCTAATGTAACAGCTTTCATTCTTCATGGTCCTATATTTTATGACAGCGACCTATGGACCATTAAAGTAGAGTGAAGACGGCGTCTTTGAACGTGGAAGATAAGTGGCTACCGGTACCTGCTTCATTTTAGCTAGACGCAGACAATCATGGGAGGATTTGCCTCAGCAAGAAATGTCGTTAGCATAGATCAAAAGCGAAAAGACGGATATCTCTAGCGCGTATCTTTAGCACAATTGGCATAAAATGTTTCAAGTGATAATTGTGGACAAGGTTTTAACCGAAAAAAATCATCTGAGGATGCCAAAAGTCGTAAATAAATATCAGAGAGGACCTGGACAGGAACTACCAGCGTAAAGCAGTTCTTTCACTCAGTCACAATTTTATTACTTAAATGACAGTCATCAGTAGTGGAGAGGTACCTGGGGCAGAAGTGTCTGCTTGTCAGTTGCGGCGCGAAATAAAAACTGACAAAAAATTACAGTTTATCAATGAGTTTTATTTTAATTAAATTAAACATTTAATATTCCAAACGACATGGCTTCGAAAATTCAATTACAACTTAAAAAGAAAATGTGTTTCCACTTCTGTGACATACTTTTTTTATTAGCACAAAATATACGTAAAGTTTCTATTTACCTGAAATCGTAATGCACCTGTAGGATTTTCCGCATAAGGAATGCCACGATAAGCAATATATGACACGTTCTCGTGAGTAACGAGACTTCCTCTAACAGGCCCATTAGATGTTATGATAACTTTTGCATTTATTGTATTTAATACAAGAATTAAAACTGTAATTAAATAAAATGTATTCGACATTTTAACGTCCGACAAAACAGCTGTATAAGAATCCACTTCAGTAAATAAAAAAATGTAAATGTATAGGACTATATAACTGCTATTAAAAGTATTTGCATTTAGAGTTCCGTAAGTCAATAAGAATATTAATTTCCAACAAACTTGAGAAATAAATACAATTTCGCTGTAGCCTATGCACTGAAGTATTTTTATTATTGTACAATAATGCAATTTAATATTATATTTTTTTACATTCTAGTCATTATTAATTCGTTAATCTTATTGGAGAATGGACTTCTTATACGCTTTCACTCTGCTTGTTTAGCTATTTTGAATAGAAACGTAATAGTTCGTATTACAATTTTTTTAATGGCGAAGACGGGTGAACAAGATCCCAATCCACCTGATTTAAATCGGTTACCGGAACCCATACATCATAATATGAATACCGCTATCCACCTTGAGGCACGAAGACTCAATTGTATAGTATAACGGCGGTCTCAACTCTTCAAGCCAGAACGCATAACTGTTTCGCAGAAATAGGCGGGATGGTGGTTTTGGCTAACGTTAGCTATTCGTTTGGGCTAACGATAGACGTAATTTTGAATATATTATTTGCGCGTTTGATTAGTGTTACGCGATTTTAGTATTTCCTGCCCTTGTAATTTGGCCTTTTTTGGCATTCTTCATATTATAGTACTGAGATATAACTAGTCTCAAGGTCGGTGGCGGCATGTAGTTTATCAAAAGGGCTTCGGTAACCGCTTAACACCTGGTGGGCCAAGAGATCGTCGTTCGATCGAGATAAGCATTAAATAAAAAATAGATATTGAAAATAGACATCATTTAGTGATATACGAAATACGGCCCCTGAAGTAGGCAATAACTACTATGTAAAATAGTAGTTATAAATGATGTAGGTACATAAAACGCTCGGTCGTAAAAACCAGATCACGTTTAATCTTATTATTATGTATATGATTTACAAATTATAAATATAATATTTTTTTTATCTTATTTCACCATGAATCTCAGAAAGTTCGACTAGACTATGATTAGATTAAATTGTGTTGTTAGTACACACGTCAATAGAAACATTAAATAGAAGTAACTTTTAGTTTGACTAAATATTTCACCGTCTTATACTCTTCAGCCCCTGTCGCGTCGTCACTACGATCTCGCACAAAAGACAAAAAATGTTAAAGTTCCTGATATGAGATAATAAAACACTTAAATAAGGCATTTGCCGGAAAGATATTTACGTGTAGGTTTTATAAATATTTTAGATGTTTCAATATTTGTATAAATTTTTTTTACGCGATATCTAATTTCAATAAACTACATATTCCACATAAATAATGTTAATAGAAAACATGTAATACATTGAATTCTTGAATCCGAAATTTGTTAACTGGAAAATGGTGCACGACCTGTCCAGTGGAATTTGGACCCTGGCATAGTTGCTGTATCATTAGATAAGTCTTTTTCATGGAGCGTCTTTTCCGGCGTATATAGAAATCTAGTATTTCTTCAGATTAACCGGCGTATAGATAGATAGAAATATAGTATTTCTTCAGAAAAAAAGCGGTATCGGATTGCTTGTATTAGTAGACTGTAATATCAAAGTTTCAAAATTTCTGGAGTTGTTGATACGATGAAAAGTCTTGTCGAGAAGTTATAAATTATTGTAAAATTATTATGATACGAATGGTCTTATCCTTTAGGCCTGACTGGCGACAACTGGCTGGCAAGAGCTGGGTGAGAATAGCCGGGGATCGTGCTCGAAAGCGTGCAATTGGAGAGGTCTATGTCCAGCAGTAGATTGCTATATGCTGATGATGATGAATCCTATTTCCTAGCGTACTACGGAAGCTCCATATGTTTTCTAGTAACTATAATTACGGCATACCTTATTATTTTTTTGTCTATATATCTAGTATATAATTTGGTCTGAACATTAACGAATTAATCAGTGAAGCGCTTTTAAAATACGAAACACACAAAATATTCTACTTATTCTTGTCGCACGTGTCATGTCAGTAAATATACGACGATCAATAACCGAATTAACGTGGAAAATTTACATTCTGTTTTTGTAGTTAAGGTCTTTGATCTTGCCAGGTTAACTTCAGAATTAGAAATTCGATATATTAGTAGGTAACATCGATTTTTTTTTGTATCAAATATAAAACGTACACAATGTTGTTTTGCAAGAACAAAGATATTGTTGAAAAAGCATGTTGCATGTATTTTTCTTGGCTCTGCTGATGCGACTTACGTATAATAGTTTAATTTACTGTAATGGAACGAGGTATGAGGAATGTTGTCAACAGTAGACCAGCGACTTGGCTGTGCCTCTAGTATTTGATAAGGTCTTTAAATGACGGTAACTACCTATCATCAAGTGGGCCGTATGCTTGTTTGCCAACAAAGACAATAAAAAACCCATTGACTGTCGTTGTTTGTATAAACAACATTTTTTTTCCCTACCTATGCTGATAGCCTTGAGAGACTATTTCAGCTTCTCCTTTACGTGTAGGTGAGCTTACGGGGCTCTAAACGGGAGTGTTGCTAACACGCCCTAGCAAGAGCCGTGCTTCGCAGAATCTACCACCGGATTGGAAACGCGACCCACTGAGAAGATCCGGCGAGAAACTCAATGGGCTGTGTCTATGGGTTAATTCACTCGTCAAGCCCCTTCGTCGCAAGCGACGGGTTCGACGAGGAGACGGTGACCGGGGAGAACATTAATAACTTAACATTACCCGCTCACCACCTATTGTACGTTGATCGTACTATTAAATAACATATTTAATATTCTGATGCGCTATTTCATGTTAAGTTATTTCGTTTCACCAAAATCCGCCTAAGTAGTAGTATTTGCGTGAAAAAGTAGCAAAAATCCATTGATCTTCAATTTACAATTCACATGGTCATGGAACGTTGGTGAGAGTGAACAAAAATGACTGGAAAAATAAATTTGCAACAAATTTAATTAAATAGGTACACAATTATAAAATAAATAGTTCTAGAAACATTGCTACTACTACTATTTACAACTTAATTTCGAACTAAAGACATTTATCGATCTAAAGGAGATCTTAGAGTTGAGACAACAATTTCAACAAAGTATTTGACTATTTTGGAACAAGATATAAGTTTTAGTGTCAGAAATGTACGAGAATGTACATAATAATATGTATCTAAGTAGATTTATTGTGTAATAAATTTTACATTTTTCCTATTAAACAAACTATTTAGAGGCTATTTATTTTAACATTTTGATACTATTAAATTCTTTGGATGTTTAACATAATAAAAGATCTTTTAAATTGCTTTTAACCAAAGAAATTCGACACCATGTTATTGAAAGAGTTGGTAAGAGATGCGAAGATCCCGGTAGAAGGTGTGGGCACTGGAGGAGCACGCGGCGGTGGTGGCAGGGGTCTGTAGTATGGACCTCCATCTATGCGCTGGCAACATATACATCTCTATATAAATTTTACTGCTATTTATTCTATTAGAACATCACTACTTGCAGTCGTGTCATACTTTAAATCCCGTATTAGGCACACCTGCAGCTTATTTGAATCGTCTTTGGAAGCAATGTGCTAGGGGAGAGGTCATGGTGGCCCAGTGATCATGGTCACATAGTATTTTATGTGTTACAAGTAATTTCAAATTAAAAAAACATCTAATTCTTCAGTTTAGAAACGGCCAAAATGCGACCGCCGCGTGTAAAGTAAAAAAAAGAGTAAATTTGATCGGACTATGACCGTGACCACTGCGTCGGTTCCTTCCACTAATTCATTAAATTCTGCTTCTAATTTTGATTTGCTGTTGCCAGTAACAGAAAAAAACTAATTTAATGGAAGACCTGCTTTTAATATTATATTATATTATAGTATGTATTATATAATATTCTTATAGTATNGCGACCGCCGCGTGTAAAGTAAAAAAAAGAGTAAATTTGATCGGACTATGACCGTGACCACTGCGTCGGTTCCTTCCACTAATTCATTAAATTCTGCTTCTAATTTTGATTTGCTGTTGCCAGTAACAGAAAAAAACTAATTTAATGGAAGACCTGCTTTTAATATTATATTATATTATAGTATGTATTATATAATATTCTTATAGTATGTAGAATAATCTTCCGTTAGATCGTGCCAAATTTACAATTACCAATCCCTCAAAGTTAGAATTATCTAACTTATTAACGTTCCTTTTTTAACTACCCATATATTTTAATATTATTAATTTTTTTTAACTTATCTAACCTATATACGTACTTTCTTCGCAAGAATTACTATGTCTCTAAAGGCTTATTAATAGAAATTATATTTTTGTATTCACTTACTTGTTTGTCCTTAGGAGAAACTAAAAGGAACATATTAGGTTCATTAAACATGCGTGTTTAGTTATTAACTTCAATCTACATATTTAAGATAAGTGGTTATAGAAAAGATTTAATAGAAAATATTAGAGTATGTATTTTAATTCAGAAATGAATATGATTACACCATTGTTACAAATACAATATGCCACATAATTATAATAGATAAATAATACAATGGTTAGTTAAGCAGGACGGATTTGTTAGATTATTTTAGATTAATTAACGCATATATGTAGATTTTCGAACAAGTTGTATGAAGTAGCTTAAATTAAATTAAATTTGATGCCTATTTATATATCAGATGGAAAAAGCAGTTTCATTCGAATGTTAGATGTCACCTATGCCATCCCTATCCACGAATATATGACTGTTAAAATTATACTGAACGAAATGAACCCACAGCGATGTTTCGATCCTTAATTAAGGTATTTTTTGAACTGACTCGTAACTAGTCTTCAGGAAAAACAATAGTTTCTTCAGGGTCCATTGTGGTTGTAATGATTGAGGTGGTCATCGCTTCTTCAGATTCGCTTGTTGTTGGACGGGTTGTAACATCCTAAATACCCACAATAAAAACTACAGTGTAAGAAACTACCTGTACTAAGAACAAGAATATTCGAGTTAAATTCGATAAGTCAGTGTAATAATCTAAAATGGTTCTTCATTTTTGTTGCCGCCCCTGTTCTAACGATTTCTACTTGTAGTAATTCAATTTAGTATCTTATTAAATTTGAACCTAAACTTATTGCTTAGTACAAATTTAACTTAAAAAATGTGAGCCGTCACGGGACGGCTGGCAGATGTGAAACATCGACATTATTTTGTAAAAGTAATATGCAGAAAAGAACAGATTGTGATAGGAACTAAATATGTCATAATGATAAAATAATATATTACGAAAAAATAATTTAATAGGTTATGTGTACTTGGGTACTGTAGTAAACAACACTGTATACACTACGGAGTATACACTATAGGTATCCGAGCACAGTGTAGCGAGAGAGATGGCTTAACGCCGGATCGAGTGGGAGAGAATCGCACAGTCGATTGCGCATGGCGACGCGTCGCCACGGCATGTATCGCCACGCAAGAAATCGGTTTTACGTGCGGCTATAGATGTTTCACATCAATAAATATTTACAAGACATCGATTTTCACGTGAAAACATGACAGGATTAGTGGTTAAATTGGCAAACTAGGCCTAACCACTTTGGTACCCTTCTAATATTTACAAATATTACAAACTTGCACGAATTTTTCACATATTATTTACATATCGTAATATTATCGTTTCACTTACCTTCGCGGAACGCAAAGTAACATTTAATAGCGTTGGATGGCTATCAATAACAATAAATTCTACTTCTTGTGGTAAATATCCTTCCGCCGAAATCTGCAAAGCATTTATCGAATATGGTGAAATCAGATATAATTAAAGAATCAGTTAATCACAATCAAAGTCAATACAAAGCTCAGATATGAAGTAACAAAATATGTCAATACCGTTCGAAAATATGGTGAAATAAATTTAGGATTTCTTTCAAATTAGAGCATATTAATATTGATCTTTGATTTTTAAGTTACAATTTCAAATATAAATCACAAATCTTACGTCCATGCGGTACGTTCCGGGTAAAAGAATGCGCCAAAATTCTCCGAAGTTCGTAGTATGATAATTGACATCTCGTCCTTTGATTTTGATAGCTGCGCGCTCTACTGGATTATTATTTTCATCCATGACAAAACCGTGGGCACCTCGGTGTACTTCCGCTAAGTATTTTATAAGAGACTGAAAAAAAAATAGGTATTGATATAATATGGGTTGTGCTTCTAATCTCGAGACCTAATGACTTTTGCTTTAATTTTTTGTGTACCTATTACTACTATCTTGTAAATGTTTTCCAGCGTAAAGGAAAAACTAGTTCGAACCTGTTGTGGAACAAAAATTATATTTCGACATTATGTTATGATGACATTATTAAGCTGAGCGACGGTATGGACGATGTTAAATCTATGAACTCTGATAACCACATAATGGTACCACAGATGGTACTTAGGCTCATTCATTTGTGGCTACTGGTACCTGCTACCAGGTGCTGTGAGCATGTATATTTAGGTACCACGTTCTTGTCCATTTCTGCAGCAAGGAGTCATGCAATCCGAGTAGAAGGCATGGGTCAGCCATTAAATGCACATTACAATTGAGATTTTAACCTTATATGTTAAGATTTGCAATGACATTAGCTCTTATTACAACTTAAAAGCAGGTGGACCGTTAGCCTATTTACATAAAAAATAAAAAGCTATTACTTATAAAAGGCTTCAACAAGAACACCCGAACCACGGAGCACGATTTTTAAGTAAAGACGTCGCTCAGTGGCATCTTTTGTAATAAGAAATATTTCATATATGAATCATTATTATTTTGGGTATAAGTACATATATTCCTTTCTGAACCAACACAGCTTTTACAGATAAATGAATAAAGTTAAATAATACAGGAAAACGATGATCTTCCAATAAAATCAATATCTATTACCATCATTTACAAGTACAAGTACAAGTGGGACAGAGGATTTTTGACTAAATTTGACTTATTTAATCAAAGTCTTATGACCATAATTTTTTATTGTGGCTAGTAAAATATTTTTATCATATTAATGCGATTTGTTTTTATCTTGTTCATAGTTTTTAATCCTTATCTCGTAAAGCAACATTTTTGAAGTTGTCGTTTTAATGATTAATCATTTTGCGGAACACACGCAATGTTTGGCGCCATCTTTGTTTAAATTTCATTAGAGGTCAAATTTTTCGCGATGGCTATTACCAACAACCATGGAATTATACATATATACATAAATATAATTTTGAAAAAAAGAACCCTATAAATGTCGCTACCCTATTTCAGACGTTATATTGAAATTTCAATTGTATCAGAACTCGATTTATCGTAACATTTACAGTGATCATTGAAAAGCGAAAAAAGAAACTAATTTTTAAATCGCGTATAATTTTTTACTTGCTGTTGAATTAATAATATTGTGTATGATGGCATGAGGCTAGTTTCATGGTGTTGTTTAAAATGTTAACGTCAGCTGCCCGAGTGCGTCCAAAGGAGACTTAGCAACTTCAGAATAGCTGCTTCGCGAATGAATCTACTACCGGAGCGACAAACTTAGCGGGCTGATGCATGGGTTAGGTTGCACGTCGAACTCTTTGCCGATATGGACGAGTACGGCTACCGGGGTCCATTCTCCTAGTGTTAGAGCTAAAGGCGTCTAATGCAAGGGTTATTGGACCTGATGGATCCGTAAGGACATGAGGCACTCGTGTTTATAGTAGAAAGTGGGGTAGCTTAGTCATGAATTCTTAGTATAAAAGTTGTTGACATGGGCAACATTAAGGAAACAGTTAACTTTAACTATTTTTAGTTAACTAAATAGTGACGTTGCGCCGAGATGTATGTATTAAATTATTTATTCACATACGACCAGACGAAATAGAGAATAGAAATAGTATTAGTTAAATAAGAATACGTGTGTAAATAAATACCAATATGCTTTAAACAACAAAATTATCAGTATGATAAATGTGAGATAAGACGGACTACGCTGTGTAATTCACGTGAGATACCTTGCTCAAGAAAGTCGTCTGTTGATTTACTAAAAATGGCGATAGTGACTATAATTTTTTTTGTTTTCCTATGTGTATTTACAAGCGGAACCAACGGTGAGAACAGAGTTGCTGTAGCCCATTTAGTATCGGGAAAAATTACGGGTACTATTGTTTTTACTGAAACTTCGGAAGGTCTCCATATAACGGGTACTATAACCGGATTACCGGCCGGGAGATACGGGTTCCATGTTCATGCTCTCGGAGACACGAGCACTTGTGACGCCGCCGGGCCACACTTTGATCCTGAAGGCAACAACCATGGAGGCCCAGATCACAATGTACGTCACGTTGGTGATCTTGGAAATGTTGTTTTTGTTGGAAACCAAGAGCCTGTAGCTACAGTCAACTTTGTGGATAGATTGATAACTCTACGTGGAAAAAATAACATTATTGGTCGTACGCTTGTGCTACATGAACAAGAAGACGATCTCGGACTGGGAGGACACGAGTTATCCCTGACGACTGGTAATGCTGGACCACGTGTAGCTTGCGGAGTCATCGGTATTAGATCACCAGTTGTGTGGAATTCAGCCGTGACATCGTTTCCATTGATCGTAGTTTATGTATTGGCTGCAGTATTTTTACTGTTCTTAAATTAAGTTTATTTGATAAATAAATATTTTTAACAGATACGTTATGTGTTTACTGTTACCTGTTTATTGTCTTGCCAGTATTTGGGTAATTCGTGGGCTGGGGGATATTTACAGCAAGATATTTCTAAAGTGACTTCCATACATCCGTGCCACAGGTAGTTGTAGTCTTGCATGCCACCTGTAAAGATAACAATAAATCCAGAGTACAGCCCTACACGGTAATACAAAGCTTACACATACTCTGCTTACAAAAATCAAGCTATTATTATAATTCTGTAATTATGTTTGTACGACCGTATAGGCTGGTCGAAGATCATTTGGTAATGCTTTCTATTTTCTAAAGGGAATTATTTTAGTTGAATGTGTTTATTTACCTGTCAGTGGATACCAGGCCGCTCCATTTGTAATGCCATTTTCGAATCTTGGTGATCCCGATTTGCAAGAGACACCTCGAGACATTTTGGCATGGTTTTTAGAGTATACCAAGGACAAATGTTTGAAGACATCATCATCAGGAGATATTGACGGCGTGTGTTCATAGTTTTGAAACACTGCTTGCAGGGGACATGTTGGGAGAAAATAAAAACTTATTAGCATATTAATTTAATCTACTAAATTACTGAAACATATGTATTTAATTATACGTCACCAGAACACAGAACTGATGATCTGCATATTCCTTTAGAAGCGTGTAAATCAAATATTTGTGTGTTAACCACTACCTATATGTCTGTTTTTCATTTTTCTTTGAAAAGCAATTCTATCAAGCTATAATCGTAGAGTGATCGTGGTCTAAAAGATAAGACATTCGGTGTATTCGTATCAAACGATATGACTATACCTTCAAATCCAGGTAGGTAATATTTAAAAAAATGGTACGTGTTCCCGGAATCGCTCTTTTGACCACAAGGCTGTTGAGCTAGGATAAAATCGCAGTTCACGGCCATTATTTAATCACATTCCTCCAACGCTTATTTATTTGCTTTATTTTATATTAAATACCTATTTTTCTTGTAACATAATCTTTGGTCAACTCACTATCCGAACTGAGCAAACTGTCCGGTTGCTGTCGGCGGTTCATAGGAAATTTCTGGCATCATGGACACCGCTGTATAGCATAGGTGTTGTGCAAATCACGTGAACACATTTTTGTATTTCAAAACGATTTTTTTTATTGCTTATATGGGTTGACGAGCTCACGGCCCACCTGGTGTTAAGTGGTTACTAGACATCTACAACGTAAATGCCGCCACCCGTCTTGAGATTTGAGTTGTAAGGTCTCACTTTTAACAGTACAATGGCTGCCCCGCCCTTCAAACCGAAACGCATTACTGCTTCACTATAAATAGAGTTCGATGGGATTTAAATGGATTCCCCAGCGTTAAAAAAAAAGGGTAGTGGTACCTACATGTGCGGCCTCACAAGACGTCCTACCACCAGTAATTACGCAAACTATAATTTTCCGGGTTTGATTTTTATTAGATTGTGTTATTCATTCATCATGGAAGACATTCGTGAAAATTTTGTTAAGATGTATTTCATTGGAAAAATTGGTACCTGGATTCGAATACCGATGCAACGCTACATACGAGTTATCCTTACTACGTCTTATCCTTAAGGCCACGACGACTTAAACGGCAAAGGACAGTATGCATTCACGACGCGGGAAGTTTTTTTTTTTTATTGCTTAGATGGGTGAACTTGCTCACAGCCCACCTGGTGGTTACTGGAGCCCATAGACATCTACAACGTAAATATGCCACCCACCTTGAGATATAAGTTCTAAGGTCTCTAGTATAGTTACAACAGCTGCCCAACCCTTCAAACCGAAACGCATTTACTGATTCACGGCAGAAATAGGCAGGGTGGTGGTACCTACCCGCGCGAACCCACAAGAGGTCCTACCACCAGCATCGTGGGAGTCAATCGTGAAAATTTTATTAAGTACGTATTTCATTGGAAAAATTTGATACCTGGATTCGAACACCGATGCATCGCTACATACGAATGCACCGGACGTCTTATCCTTTAGGCCACGACGACTTAAACGACAAAGGACAGTATGCATTCACGACGCGGTAGGTAATTGTTTGCTAAGTCAATTTTTTTGACGTACACATAACTAGCTAAGCATTAAGTTTCCGAAATACTTACTAGAACTGGGAGTGTTGTCGAAAGGATAAGACGCGACCAGAGCACCGCCATGCAGCGACCCAGAGAGAACGAACTGTATTTTGCTGATCCATTGTTTCACTGCTTCCGTTTCTGGCTGAGGCTGTTTTGTATTCGCTTTGAAAAAATCGGGAAAATTCCTGTTCAAATCATGACGACGTGCATTGTGCCTGTAATGCGAGAAATGCAATGCTTACAAGAAGGGAACAGAAATAGAAGAATAATGACTATTTTACTACACACCATCCACAATTACAATTTTACAAATTTTGCGCAATAGTTATATGTAACTACAATATAAAAATTCAACTAAAAAGAAACTATGGTTGTATTTTGTAATTGTAAAATTATGAACTGAAACGACATCAATTCAATTTATAATAATGCATTGTATTCATCTTCTCGGTACATTACCTGCCATGTATGGTGTCGCATTGTCCTTCTCTCGATATTGCGAAACCATCAGGATTCATTGAGGGCATTAAGTGAATACGTGTGTTGTCCAACAGCCATTTCACGTACGGATCAGTTGCATACGACGTCACTAGATACTGGAATTAGTTTAAAAAAATTGTACTTTTATTATTTTTCTTTGTAACACAAGTTCTTTACGAACTTATCACGGGACCAGTTAACGTGGCGTGATTGTTAGTAAATATTTATTTATTATTTATTTATTTAATTAGGCAGAGTATGATATCGCTGGCCTGTTGATGTATAAACTATCTATTACTGGAATTGAAATACGCCGCAAAATTAATGCAGTTAATATAAATTTGGAAATGAATTCTCAATGTCAACAAACATAGCATTCTAATCTATCCAACCGGAGCACACGATGGCTATAATACAGAATACATGCAATATATCAAATGCGCTAAATAATAAACACGCTCCGTCGTAATTCAGCTTTTAGATGAAGGGTACTGTGGAAAAAAGCTAAGGTTACTAAGCTAGGACTTACTACTTATTAATAGCAGTAGTAGTAGGTTGAGAAAGTCGTGGACATGACGTCGACATTTATATAAACTATATACTATAAATCTCATAAGTGTGAAAGTGAACATTTATTTACTAACGTTTGATTTGAAACTTGATGAAATGATAACTAAACACTAAAAAGAGACAAACAGGGCTTAGCCTGCGAGAAATGTGATAGAAAAATTCGGTTTCATTATAGCAGAGTCTGAAAAATATTATACATATTATGTTTTTAAGTGCTTTCTAACGCATAGAAACATACGGCTTAATTGAAAATAAATACGTGTAATAAACTACATGCGCCCCTTTTTTTTTTTAAGTTATCCTCCTTGGAAAACCCACCATTAAGTGGGTAATTTTTTTATCTAACATCTCACTGTTATTTTCCTTATTTATACAACAAGGTTTTACCCAATAGACGAATAAAAAAACGATCAACATAATATGATAATAATATACATGATTTTTTTCACATCCATAGCTTATCATTACCGCTAACCTATCAAGTTTTATGAATATGCAAGTATTTTATATTTTATAGTAAATAGCATAGTGTTTTTCACTCATATTCCAGAAGCTTATCTCCAATAACGTTTTATAATTAGTTTATTTTATACTGACAATTTTTTTTAATTAATAGGAACACAAAAAAGATATAGCAAAAGCAACTCGGTTTCAACCGGGTGTTCGATAGACACATCTCTTTTTATATTTTAACAAGAACAATTATTTGATTGTCGGTATGCCGACCAAAGGATTCGCTGGAATATCTTCCTTTTGCGACATGAAATGTGTTGTTCATTATCTATTCAATGTCAACATTTAACATTAAACAACAATAACATTAATTAACAACAACATTAAACAAAAATAGTTTTTAGTTTATTAACATAGCATAATAACTACCTGTATAAGATGTAGAAGGAGCTCCCGTCCTACCGCTTCGTTACCATGTATGTTAGCCACATATTTAACATCAGGCTTCCCAATCATGTGCTCGTATGGAGACACAGAGACGACCATCACCCATAGATCTCGACCTGTAACATTTTTAAAATACATGCGTACACAATTTTCTTAGGTAATTTGTTTTTGTGTTAAAATTGGCAGACTCCGCGGCTCGCCTTAATAGGCCAAGTAAGCGCTGCCAACGTCCAAAAACTACATGAATGACCTCGCCCACATACAGTCGTGAACAATTGAGTTATGAATAATTGGAATACTGAAATGAAGACAAGGACTGGAGCTCCTTAGTATTCAGTTAGGTTGTTTTGGGACCAGACAACGAACGGCTTTACTGTCAGCCAAAAATCGGTTGGGGTTATATCGGAAAATAGGTCTTCAAGTTCTAGGCTTTCGTATGACCCGGCCATTGTAACAGTAGCCTCACATATTTTCCTTCGATAATCCCTTATTTCAAAACTGTTACTTCCTTTAATGAGTACGCTGACAAGGTCTGTTACGAGTTTGTATGGATAAGCACTACAGTGCAATCTTACCGATTCTACTAAGAAGCAAACCTGTATTTTGGTGTGAAGGTTAGGACAACTGCTATACGAATGTATGCAGTTTTTATATCGCGGACTCTCTGATTTCAGGTACCGCTAAACATCAGGTTGCTTGTGAGCTTGTCTATCTATCCTAACTAATAAATATATATATAAAATCAAAAGAATCGAAATCGCTAGAAGGCTACCAAATGGTCAAACATACAAAGCGACCTTAAGGAAGCCCAGGTCGAACCGGCACACCACAAATTGACAGTCAAAGACAAGTTTTAAGGAAACCTAAGCTAAACCCAAATACAGAAACATACATAAAATACAGAACGATGGAGAAGATAATCCTGAAAGAAGTAATTTAATAACTTATTAAAGTTATATGAGTACTAGAGTACGGTATATAGTGAGCTTAAGTATTCAAGAAGAACACTGAAACAGGTTTATATCAACTAACATTTCCTCAAGTGATGAGGAAAATTTTACGAGTTTTTACCCTGATTTCTGACATACTTAAATAATTTAATAACTTTAGGACTTTATTATACCCGAGTAAAAAATAATAAGTTAATGATACGGAAATTTTGATGAGTCAATAAAGCCGCATAGAGCTATGGTAATAGTTAAGAATAACCAACTAAAGATATATTGCGTGACTCATCATTAAATAAGTACACGCTTAATGCTATTGAAACCGGTTGACTAACCTTGTACCGACTTCCCAATGGAATATAAAGCTGTGAGTTCAGGATATTTGGCAGAAACTGCACGTAGATACCGCGTCATCTGATCATGATCGTGATATTGAAACTCTAAGTCTGGAGCATTTTCACGTGATTCCACTTCACCTAGATTGGTTGACGTTTCTTCTGCATTAAAAATATAATTAAATTAATAAACTCAATTTCGAAAATAAACTCTCCAAAAACTTTGGATCAAAGACAAAATTATTTGATCTTGATTTCCACGGAAACATGACGTTGCCTTTTTATTTGTTATTCAGAATGTTTGATACTTTATTTATGGCGAATATAAATCTTATATGATAATAAAAATAGGAATTTTCATTATTAATTATTTAAAATAGTTTACGAATAAAATAATTTACTTGACGGTTATATTTTATCTAATGATTGAAAAATTATCGTTTACTAGAACTTATTTTGGTCATAGTGAGCTTATGCAGCTTACGCAGTGAAGACACAAGTCAGTTCGAAGTTACAACAAATAAGTTAGATATTCAATACATATTGACTTCACTAGGATTATCCCGTGGTTCCATCAGTGTTCAAATAGAAACAAATAATTTGAATGTAAAATACGGACTTACTACCGGTTTCATTTAAATGGTGCAATTATACGATTCAAACTAACATATCTAAAACAAACTAAAAACACGTTGACAATTTTACTACCTACTGTGTAGTACACAAAAAAATTTTATTGCCCCTGTAGGCAGACGAGCGCACGGCCCACCTGATGGTAAGTGGTTACCGTCGCCCATGGACTTCAGCAATGCCAGGGGCAGAGCCAAGCCGCTGCCTACCGCTTAATACTCTCCACAAGCCTCGTTTGAAGAAGGACATGTCATAGCGCTCGAGAAACACCGTGGAGGGGAGCTCATTCCATAGCCGGATGGTACGTGGCAAAAAATACCTCTGGAAACGCACTGTGGATGACCGCAGTGGCTCCAGGTAGTATGGATGAACTCTATTCCGGTGGCGGGCGGTGCGATAGTAAAAACGAGATGCCGGTATCATTTCGAACAATTCCTCAGAGCATTATTAGGAAACCATAATAGGAAAACAATATGTTTATGTTATTCAATAAACTTATTGTTTTAGTAAATACATATTTCATGTACTTTGAGCGTACAGCGAAGGCTGTTGGCGTAAAGCGTTGTAAGACACCCTACGTTTCATCTGTTAGCTGATTCTTAAACATGTTTCATGCACGCAAACAGCAAATAAACAATAATTATTAATCACGAATTTTCTGTTTATTTTTTGCTTGAATTGAACCCTGTGTCGTGGAATTACCAGCCATACGCCCCGTCTTCGTCTTAAGGTGACGCAATTGCATATCTGTGCTACGAATCACTACTGGGTTCCAGTTTAAAGAGTGGGAAATCCGATATACAATACAATTGAGACTTTTAACTCATCTTTTTTTTTACATTATCGATCACGAACCAGTTTAGAGTTTCCAACCTTCCAACAAAGCCTTTAAGGCTTGTGTGAAGTACCTATAGAATTTACGTACTTATATATTTGCTGAAGTTTCTAGTTGCCTAATGTTGTAAATATTAGAAAATATTTTATTTTATTTTATTTAATGATATAGTGCACACATACCTCCATTTAAGCTTGGATTATGAAAAGATTGCGCAAATGTCGAACCAGCCAGCAAAAAGTATATTAAAAATATGTTTTTTCTCGCCTCCATGCTGTAGTAAGTCTGAAAAATATAAGAGCCTTTAGAAGATTTTTCATAAATATATAGTTTATAATAGTTGATAATTGGTTCATAAATAAGCTATCTATAAATATCATTGTGAATTACCTAGGATTATATCAAACTAATAATCACGACGAATAAAATACATATATGGTAAGCGCTACACGAAGTAGTGGCTCCGAAAACAATGATGTATGGGTCAGCTGATGTCTCTGAGCAATCACGACCACTTAAAATCGGGTGGCTCGTAATCCTGTCTGCAGGATCAAATAAAAAAATAAATAGTAAACACAGGACTGCGTAATAAGATAGTTTGACAACAGTTTAGACTTCCTTTGGACATAAAGTTCACGAAATAAGTTTAGTCATAATAATAAAACAAAAGCAGATTCATGATTAAATATCAGTTAAATGTAATAATGGAAAAAACAATTTTCATCCCTTATACGATAAGTTATTAATATATAATTTTGAACAAAAACGCTAGAACTGCAATAATTGCTTGCAAGTGAGTTTGAGTTAGTTAGATGAGGAAATTATAACAATATCATATGAAAGCAATCGTTTCAAAAAGCAGATTAACCCTACACATTTTTGGTTTAGGAATACATTAATTATAAAAGTAGATTTAAAAAAAAAATGGTACATTTCACGGCAGCGGTGGGCGTTTGAAAGAACTACATACAGTACCTGAAAAATGATCTTGCTTCTCGATTCAAGAATCTATGAGAAGAATAAATACATTTTACGATAGTACTAAGACCGACTGTTTGAAATCCTGTAGGTACTCGCAACTATCGATCCTTCGACTAGCAATTCATGTTCGCGATGTTGCTATCGTGATTTGTGATTGACTCATGCTCCATTCCAATCGATTTCTAGAGAAAATCATTGAGGAACATCGTGATATTTTACAAATATCAATGTAATTCACGATTCTTGTTGTAATTGTTGTAATTCAGCAGTGTGAACTACTGTTTTACGGTAGGTTGATTAGTATGCGGCTTTCTTTTTAATGTTATGATGAGTTTTTGGAAGCAAGCGAGCCTTCGTCGTCGCTCTAGTTTGGTACATCCGGTCGACACAGAAGGTCACTGGGTTAGTAGAGACCTTACTAAATCACAATAAAACAGAACTACAAAAAATTTTGTACGTTTAACGTTAATATATAATTTAAATTGTGACAATATTGGATAAAATACGGCAGACAGATTCCCTGTTACATTTCATAAGCGAAACTCCTCGTGAATTACGTAGAATAATAATTAAAACGGATATTAAAGAATATCTATGACATAATTAAAATTATGTTTGTTTTTTTTTCTCCTATGGGCATTAATTATTATTATTATTCATTATAGTACTTGGTGCTCACAGAAAACACCAAGTTATAAAATTTAATGTTGGAAAAACAATGGATCGAAGTGACGCTATTAGTAATTTTTTTAAGTAATAATAGGTAGGTAAGATGATTAAACAAATTCGGTCAAATACACTTTTTAACATTTAATAATCACAGAATTAAGAACATTTATAATATCTTTATTATATTACGCAAAAGTGGCACACCAAGGCCAGTGAATTGCTTCAAGCTATTTTATATTTAAATTGAGTTATAATCAAATTGTCCTGTTCATTACTTCGATGAATGCAAAAAATAAGAATGCCTTTTGTACTGTAAACATAATACCTATAGCTTTATTTGTACAAGGTGTATACTCGTCTGAGAGTGATGGTAACGGTGAGCTTTCCTTCCGCTCTTGGCATTGGCACATTGACCCTATTCTTTACACTCTTACATGCTAACTTTCGTTTTTAAAGTAAACAAAATATTCATTCAGCATAGTACTCCAAGCTGCTTGCGAACGACTACAAAAAAAGGAAAATTGAAGACTATAAGTGTAACAAAAATACCTAATTGAGGTTGTTTATATACGTATGATACACATAATATGTGCATGTGTAGTAAATTCACACGTTCTTATTATACGTGAAACTATGATGCTTGTTTTAAACAATGCAGTTTTTATTCTGTGAAAGTTTTCAAATGTGATTCGAATACAGATACACACCTACATTTGAAAATCTGTTCATTAAATTTATTGTTATAATATTTGTTAAATGAAAAAAATTACATTCCGCAATAGTAATTTTTATAGGTGAGTTGAGTTTTCATTTGCGTTATTAGACAACATTTATAAAAAAGCAGTTGTATTTAAGGCTTTTTTTTTCTTCAAATAAAACATAAAACATAGTATGGCAGATAGTACGTAACTTTTGTATTATAAATAAATTGTACAATAGTTTGATGCAAAGTATTTTAATCAGAAAATGTAAAAGGCAAAAATAATAAAATCTTACCTTAAGCAAAATGGAGATCTGCTATATTAAAAATTTAATTAGTACACCAGTTTTAAGTATCATTTAAAAAGTTCGAAAATCACAAACATAAAATAAGTTAAAAGCGAATTTTATCGAGCTTATAACCCAAATAACTGTATCTAGTGTTAGCAGACGAGCCAACTGCGCTCGACTGGCATGACATCGGCAACTGATGGTACTTGGTAAGCTAAGGCTGGTGCTCGACGTGACACAACGTCATCTGCGTCATCCAACACACCACACAACCGGAAAGTGCTTTCTCTCAAAACAACTTCGCTAAACCAGTTCTTATTACCCTGGAACAAGACTCATTTTACCTAAAAGTAAAATTACGCTTTTAAAACTTTCCAGGCATTGTATTTCCTGCTTTATAGGTCTTGAAATAGGACAGAGTTTTTAGCATTTTTATAAATGTTTCTGTGACCGTGACGTAAGTTTTGTATAACTTTCTTTGAACGTAGTTCTCATCACTTTACCCGCTATTCGAGTTTTTGTCAGGAGAGCGGATAATTAATTTCAGGAATTTCATTACTGCTTTACTACAAATAAAAAGCTATGTAAATTTAGTTTCGTAGAAGCGTATAAACGTAAAAGTATCTTTGAAAACGAGCGAAGAATTAATAACGGCCTGATTTCATATGAAACAATTACTTTCAATATTTACCAAGTCCTGATAGCCTAGCTTTTTTCGTATGGCAGACTTTTGTCGTATGGCGCTGAGACCTGGTTACTGAAATCTGCAGACCGCAGACGCATTGACGCCTTTGAGATGTGGTGCTGGAGAAAAATGCTGCGTATTCCATCGACAGCATTTCGGACCAACGTATCAATTTTGCAAGAACTCAAAATCTCGTCGCGGCTGTCATCCGAGTGTCTTCGCAGAGTCCTTGAATACTTCGGTCACATTGCAACGAAAGGATGGTAGAAATATCGAGAGGCTCATCGTGACTGGTAAGGTAGATGGGAAAAGACCTCGGGGGCGCAGCCCAATACGTTGGTCCGACCAGATCCGCACCGCTCTTGATTCCACGTTTCACAACGCCCACCACACCGCCAGAGACAAGAATGGGTGGAGAAAGATCGTGCGTGCGAAGGTGATACAAAAGGGTGGTCACGACCCTCAGCAATGAGGAATACGACGCAAGGAGGGAGGATGAGGAAAGCATAGCGAGTAAGGAGTAATCGTATCGAGTGGTTTTACGCCGGGATTGGATTGCTGTAGGCTTACCTGGTGAAGGTGTCTATGCCAAAAGTGCTTTTTATATAAGTACGTACCTACCTAATATTTTCACGAACGATTTTTACCATGAAGATTTTTTTAATGTTTCTCGTCCCATCGAACGATCTAAATATAGGATAATCTCTGTAAAATTATAAGTTGCAATTACTAACAGCATGACGCATATTGTCAAACAGCATGGGCAGGTTTTCTTTTCTTCAATACAAGCCGCAAAATTTACAAAGCGTATAAGCGTGACGCCGCTTTGAGAGTAGAGCCACGAGAGCCAGAGAACAGCGCCCCTAGTGGTAATCGTTCCAACTCTAGTATAAATTTGAGCTAACTTTTACGCTATCAAGAACGTCAAAAATCTCGCAGTAAGCACAATGGTGATTTGAAACCTTTGCACAAGCTGAATTGTAAGGGGGGAATACGAATACCTGATTACAATTAAGAAATAAGACTAATTCGTGTTTATAGTATTGGAAATGACCCATTGAATGGTACCAGCTATCCTCTGTCTTATTATTATATATATACCTTGTAATAGTGACTTCTTAAATATGTAAGATAAGTCGTCGTGGCCTAAAGGATAAGACGTCCGGTGCATTCGCATCTAGCGATGCACTGGTGTTCGAATCCCGCAGGCGGTTACCAATTTTTCTGACGAAATACGTACTTAACTAATGTTCATGATTGACTTCCATGGTGAAGGAATAACATCGTGTAATAAAAATGAAGCCCGCAAAATTATAATTTGCGTAATTACTGGTGGTAGGACCTCTTGTGAGTCCGTACGGGTAAGTACCACCACCCTGCCTACTTCTGTCGTGATTCGTGAAGCAGTAATGCGTTTCGGTTTGATGGGTGGGGCAACCGTTGGAACTATATTGAGACCTTAGAACTTATATCTCAAGGCGGGTGGCGCATTTACGTTGTGGATGTCTATGGGCTCCGGTAATCACTTAACACCAGGTGGGCTGTGAGCTCGTCCACCCATTAAGCAATAAAAAAAAAACTTCCTGTAATACTTGTTGCCAATACAATCCTCCTTCATGCGTTGTGTTCCTCAGTGCTGAGGGTCGTGACCTTTACGGAGCACTTTTATTAGGACTTTGTTCCTCCACTCCTTCTGAAAATTTGAATTTCTTTTTATGCAAAAGAAAAAACATAGTTTCAAATTTTTTTGGTAATTAGTTAACTTTTTTCTCATTTTAAAAATAGTATAATAATGTAAAGATACATAATTGTTTTTAAAATAATTAACAAAATACGCTTTTATAGAAAATCCAACAATGCTTTTCATACCCAACCTTCATATCCAACCATGCTTTTCAGTTCATAATCATATCTGTTTATAAAAAAATTATAGCTGCACCCCACGCTTTTTTTTACAATAAAAACATTTTTTCTTATACTATATTAATTCAAATTTATTAAAATTTATTTACTATTTTTTAGTTGGATTTTCTATAAAAGCGTATTTTGTTAGTTTTTTTAAAGTATTATTTATTTTTCATTTTTTTAGTTGAATTTCAATTTTTTCAATGTTTTTTAATCTTTTTTTAAATCTTGTATTGTCTTGTCATCGGTCCTCAATAAGTATACCAAATTTCGAGTTAATCCGGCGTTTTGAAGGGGGTCAAAATCATGTCCAAAGATTCCGTTACAAACATTACGTATTAAAATAGAAAGTATTTGTAAAGTCTTGAATAGTTTTCAAGTGGTGATTTTTTTTTATTGCTGTGATGGGTGGACTAGCTCACAGCCCACCTGGTGTTAAGTGGTTACTGGAGCCCATAGACAGATACAACGTAAATGCGCCACACACCTTGAAATATAAGTTCTAAGATCTCAGTATAGTTTATAACGGCTGCCCCACCCTTCAAACCGAAATGCATTACTGCTTCACGGCAGAAATAGGCAGGGTGGACTAAAGAGGTCCTACCACCAGTAATTACGCATATTATAATTTTGTGGGTTTGATTTTTATTATACGATGTTATTCCTTCACCGTGGAAATCAATCGTGAACAATTGTTAAGTACGTATTTCATTAGAAAAATTGGTACTTGCCTGCGGGATTCGAACACCAGTGCATCGCTAGGATACGAATGCACCAGACGTCTTATCCTTTAGGCCACGACGACTTTAAGCTGGCCTCACCCAGGCCCACCTGGTGTTAAGTCATGGTGGTGTTAATTGCTTAACGGCTTTCTGGGCGAAATTGTTGTACTTCACAAAAAAAATACATATATTATATTTTAAACTAGCTGATCCGGCAGACTTCGTAGTGCCTCAATCGATAAATAAAAGACCGGCGGGGGACACATCAAAGGAAAAACAAAATTGTTATTTTTATTTAATTCCAAGCATTTTCAAATTTATCTACATTTTAAACCTTCTCTGGACTTCCACAAATAATTCAAGACCAAAATTAGCCAAATCGGTTCAGCCGTTCTCGAGTTTTAGCGAGACGAACGAGCAGCAATTCATTTTTATATAATATAGAGATAAACATATAGTTAGTAAAAAATGTAACTTATAAGTTTTATTACCTTCCTCGGAGATTGCAATGGGTAAGTATCTACACATAATATAGTTAACTATTACCGCCTGTAGCGGTGAACCTATTATCTGTTCACTGCTACAGATGAACAGATCCCTGTCTTTCGACCTTATTATTCATTACTTATCGGAGTCCAGGGACATTACAACATGTGCTCACCACCCACAATGTGACATTAGGCTTGAAAACTGTTTTCTATAGTATTTTCTTCGGCTTACATGCATCCTAGGCATAATTAAAACTAGTTTTACTGTTTTAATATCGCCTTTTCATTGTCATTATATTATTTATGACGAGTTTAATAGTTTCCAGTATTCACGGTCGTCGACGTCAAAACGTTGGAAAGACGCTTAACGACACCAAAAAACGCGAGCCTAAATCGTACAAATAGCTTTAATGACTGTTTGGTACGTTTGTTATTCCAGACTAAAGCGGAAAACATGAATGATTCGTGGAAGAAATAGACAGGATGTTGGTACATACAGATGTGGGTTCACAATACGCCAAAAATTGCGAAGATGTACATTATACATATATTAATTACATTTTGCGGTTCTATTTTATTTCTATTCTTTCTAATTAATTCTATTTAATTTTTCTAATGAAATACGTACTCAAAAAATGTTAACGATTGACTTCCACGGTGAAGGAATAACATCGTGTAATAACAATGAAACCCGCAAAATTATAATTTGCGTAATTACTGGTGGTAGGACCTCTTGGGAGTCCACACGGGTAGGTACCACCACCCCGCCTATTTCCGCCGTGAAGCAGTAATGCGTTTCGGTTCGAAGGGTGGGGTAGCCGTTGTAACTATACTGAGACCTTAGAACTTATATCTTGAGGTGGGTGGCCCATTTACGTTGTAGATGTCTATGGGTTCCAGTAACCACTTAACGTCAGGTGGGCTGTGTGCTCGTCCATCCAGCTAAGCAATAAAAAAAAAAGCACTGGAAGTCGTTCGTGAACACATGCAGTAGAGCAATAGGGCACTTGCCTATAGGATTTAAATCCTGGTATAGTCGTTTGTCTCCAACGTCTCCAACGTCTCCAACGTCACGAAAATGAGACTCGTCCGAACCTTAGTTTTCTCCATCTTTCTCTACGGGGCAGAGTCCTGGACAATTAAGGCATCCGAGCGCAAGAAAATAAACGCATTTGAAATGTGGTGCTGGAGACGAATGCTCCGAATTCCGTGGACGGCCAAGAGGACAAATAAATCTATCCTGGATCAGCTTCGCATCCNCCCTAGATTACTGTTGTGTTTTCTGCACTGCAGTGCTTGAATTAGTTATTGATTATCATAATCAATAAAATTCAAGAGACAGTTTGTGAACCTGCCAATTGTGAAAAAAGCCTGTAATTTTTTTATTTTTTTTTAATAAAATTTATTCAAGCCTCTTAAAATACAAACACGTGCAAAAATTCTTAACACTAGTATAATAATATACATGGCTTTTTTATGAGGTATACAATAACAATATTCCCTGACTTTTATGCTAGGAAAACCTGTGTTACAAAAGTCAGTGGTTCAGTGCTAGGTCACCAGGTAAAGAAAGTTAACCAGGAAGAACGATCTGTAAGAATATAGTACGTACGTGCGTGCGTGTGCGTGTGTGTGTGTGTGCGGGTGTGTGCGTGTGTGTGTGCGTGTGTGTGTTTTCCCCCACCTATTCGCTGGTAGCCTAAGAGGCAATTCCAGCTACGCCCGGACTGGTAGGTGAGCTCACGGGCTCAACCTGAGAGAATTTGCTAACACTAACTTTAGAAAAAGCAGTGGTTCGCAGAATCTACCACCGGATCGGAATCGCGACTCACTGAGTCGATCCGACGAGAAACTCAGTAGGTATTATACAAATTTACTCAATTTCTTACAGTGAATCATTATTCACTACAGTTTATAGAATATAATGAGATAACCTTTTGACTCAGAAAGCCGATATCCAAATTAGGGGGCCCTCAAGGTTCAAATTAGAAATCGAGTAGGGACACTCGTTATCGGATACGCTCTTGGGAATTATAAGCTAACGATGTATTTTGGGGTTCTGTTTTATCATTCGAAAGGTTAATCGGAATTAGCTATTATTGAAACGTCAGGTATGCAATTTTATGTAGGCATGAGGCCAAAGATTTACAAGACAAACAAGATTTGGTTTCGATTGGAGTGTTGCTGCCATCGCTAAGTCAAAGTTCCCTCAATTATGATGCTCATCGAAAATATTAAAAAAATGGGCAAAATATGAATAAATTCCTTCTACAACTTGATTCATTTAATATAAAAGCGTTCATGTTAATACCAAATAGATAAAGCTCGGTTGAAACCAGATTTGCACTAGCGAAAATTTCAAGAAATCCTGCATACCAAACTTTCCGTTAAACAGGCATTGTCACCAGCTCTATAGATGATATCTCTTTGCCTCAGAAAGCACGAAAAATAACATCGCCCACGTACTGATGACCTACGAACAACTGCGGCCTTCGCTGTAATCAGCGCGTCATCAACGTCGACTACAGCATCTCCTGCAGATTAACGCGAGCCATTAACAGTCAGTCAGCAGTCGTGAGGCAGCAATTCAGTGTGAAAATCGTACTCGACTCAACTATACTTTCTATTCCTGCAGTACATGCATCGTACCATCGTCGCACAACGATAAATCATAGCACTGACTCATCTTTCAAGTTCAGTATCAATACATCGCAAACCTCGAGCATCACTGGTCATGCTAATCTCAGCACGGAGTCCGCTAATTTACCAGTAAAACGATTTCAGAGGGGAGTGGTGATTTTTTTCCCTGCCTAATCACTGGTGGTACCCTAAGGGGTTATCCCAGCTACTCTCGCACTGACTGTGACATAGCCACATCTGTTATTTGATAAAATTAATTCGACCAAAACCTAAATCGCTTTATGTTATAACCTTGTTTTTATTATTATTATTTTATATTATTTTATACAAATTCAAAACAATAAAATACGGAATGTCTACCGAAGTTTGGTGTGATATTTTCAGAAAAATGAAAACCAATTTTGCTCATAAAATCTCATGGATTAGTTTTTGATATAAAAAATCTTGTTCAAAATTGGCGTGTTATATGAAACTCCCACGCCCACGATACTGTCTCTTGTTATCAAATCTACGACCTTGGATAGTATTACTAGGGCGCTGCAGCATCTAGGTCACCGTGTAAAGTAAAATGTGATGTACATACTATTGGCAATGAGGGTTACAACGCTATTGCACAAGCGCGTCTACCGGCGCGATAGCAAGTATCGATCGCAGTGAGACCCCGCTGTTTGCGTGCACTAAAGCTGTTTCGGCTTGGTGGAACTCTGTTGCGCGAACCTAAGATTTTTCTTGCCGAAAGCAAAAGCGCGCACCCCACGCGCATGCCTAAAATCAGGGGTGCAGGGAGGGTACTTGACCAGGGGCGAGAGCTCGACCCGGGGCCCTCACATTACGTAACACAATACGCACAGGACGGCGCACAAACAATGTGATTTTATTTTTTCCTAAATTTTTCTACTGTTTTTTAATTAATTATACATTTTTAGAATTAGCATCGTAGTTTACGTTAGATGTCGCGCGACCTTTTCTTTGCGGTTTTAATTGTATGTATGTAAAAGACAAAAGAGGTTGAAGAAACGTTGAAACTTTAAAATTCCACATTGCAAGATAAGATCAAGATTGGATCATTGAATATTCAAAAGGCCTGATATTAAAATAAATGAAAAAAAATCTAAAGCCAAATTAATCGATCGATAAAAGCGTATTCTTACGAGAAATTATAAATGTATGAAGCGACGCCCGGACGAGACGAAGGAACGGAATAAAAATTACATTGAAATTTTCAATTCCCTTTCACCTAAAATATATCAATATGAAATAATTTAATTGAGATTATAACTGAAAGAATCCGGCAAGATGACTATGGGTAAGTTTATTTTTCACATTGATGTTTCTAAAGTAGTTTTAATTGCGAAGGCTATTCATGTTTATTTTATCATATTTAAAATTTCAACGTGCCTAATTCAAAGGTAAGATTTATCCTAAATGATTATCTAAATATACCATATACCTATATGCTATACCTGCTTAAAAATTACGAAGGTGATCACATACCTCATAAATGATCATGGCCGTACCCTGTGACCTCTAGCACAGCGTACAACCATGTCTCTGGTTAATCGCAAGTATATTATAAATAAATACCAGTATAATAATAGTAATAATAGTAAACATTCGGATAATAATTCAAAAAGTAGTCCGAGAAAACTCCGTAAATATAAATTGTGCAAGCATTTCCTGCACAATAAATTGTGCAGCCTATAAAGGAAATATGAAATATGTAAACTTTTTCAAAGGGCCATTTAACACAGTACTTACTTACTAATTAACTATCAGGTCAACTAGCCCGACAATTGCATTTCGTCTCGTCCTATTTAAATTTTCCAATTTAACTACTCATATGCTTAAATTAGTGACGTAATTTAACGCCTCTATCAGGGCTCAGTGTCAGTATGTGGCGACACAAGCACGCTGCACTAACGTACGCACAGCCAGTAAATAAATTGCGCCCACAAACGCGAAAAATCATACTTATCGGGAAACAAAATTATAATGGTTTATAAAATCAGTTATATGTATCATTAAAATTTTTTGACACCAAAAACTAAAACGCAAAATAGTTAATCAGTACCGAACTTTACAATGGAAAACAGTGATTCTTTCGCTATATTAGACATTAATCTCAGTGATAAGGATAAGGACGAACTGAAAACAAATGATGGAAATAAAAAATCGCCAATCACAACTGTCATAAAAATTCGTAAGTTTCTACTTAATGTTTTAGGTTCGCTTATATAACATAATAATTATGATAAGTAATAGCTTAGTTTTAGCAAATATATTATAAGATTGTCTTGTCATCTTTAAATAGTAGTAAAATGGCGAATCTTCTTGTAATTTATTATAAGATTAAGTTATGAAATACGAATAATAAAATCGGAACTTGTAAGGTACAATAACATAGCTTTGAAGTATTAACATCTATTTACTATTGATAGCTTCAAATTATAGTATTTCGTATCACATACCGTTCAGAGTAATCACAAATCCAGCAAAGAAAATATTTTTCACACAGACATTAAAATCTCTACAAGGTCTAATTATCCTCATTGTATTCAGCGTGGGAAATGTTCACTTGCACTCGATTGAAACTTCGCTTCTTTTCTCATACCAACGTACAAAACAATATGACATACATTACGAGCGAGTCACTCACGTATTGCTCAACTTTATCGATTGTTTATTTAAATGTTTTTATTATATATAAATACTTTTTAACATAGACATCAAACGCTCTACAATAAGTTTTGAAGTCAGCCTGGTCTACTCTTATTGAGCAATGCGACCGTGACGGTATTCAAATCCCGCATGCAGATTTATGACGTATTTAAGTTGTTCACGAATGACTTTAATATTCAAGAAATAACGTGGCTTAATAAAAATTACCCGTAAAATTAAATTAATTCACGTTGTGATATTTATGAGCACCAGTAACTGCTTAATAGCAAGCATAGACTATCTGTCTATTAGTTCGTTCCACCACTGCTGTAGAAAAATACTATACTTAAAAAATCTTTGTCATAAAAATTTGAAGAAAAAGTAATAATGAATAGAGGAACTAAAAAAAATTCAAATTAAAGTATTAGTGTTTATTTATAATATAAAGCTTGCTTGACTATATCCAGGCATGGTGCTCAAGTCGAGCTCACGCGGACTTGCCGTAAACCACTTTAAGACATGGAGATCGCCCGCTCATTTGCATTGGACGAACACCTATACTCAACTGGGATGCATAGTGTTTTGCGTCATAGAATGACAGAAAATCTGTCCCAGCTAAATATATAATTGCATGTATTTACTGTGTGATGAGCACGGTCATAGCTTTCGCTATATTATGTCCTCATTAGAAGAATCACGCGCTGACAATGTCCCTGAGCACGGAGCGTCAAGGGAACCTGTCGCGTTCCACTCCGCCGCTTCCGTTGCAATGCCCTGCTTCCTTTGTCTCGTCTATAATACACATGATGTCCTCAATGAAATTGAACCAAAACATTATGATTTCGTCATTACTGTTATAACTCTTTTAATTTTATTCCGAACTAAGATACCGTAGTTATTGTACGCTAGGAGCGCTATTTCATAAACGGTATGTAGTGTTGCTAATAGTTAGTTCACATACAGGAAATGCTTACGTTTTAGTCAAGATATGTAGTTTCGCTTGTATCCGTTGTTGTTACTATTACGGTAACTATCGTAAATAACAGTATGTTTTACGAATACGGCATCACACCACAAACAGGACTTACTTCTTCGTGCCTACCCGTTGATAAGGTACATAGTGTAAAACTAATTAAGTATTAATAATACATTTCAAAGATTAAATTTATTTTCAAACATCTACCTAAATAACCAAAGATGAAACAGTTGAGTACCATATTCTTTTTTGTCCACTGTTTTTTTATTATAACTATTGACAAGTTTGTTTAGTATTAATAACAGAAAATATAAAAAAAAAGAATAAAGAAATTGTAATACATAAAACTAAATCTCAGTTATCAGTGACTAAGGTCGCTTTTCTATCATCGAGCAAGAAATAGTTTAATTAATTACAAAATCAATGTACTCAGAACCAGATGGGCAGAATTAAATAACGAGGAAGGTATTTAGGCTAGTTAAGGGGTACATAAGTACTAATTCTTCACTGTACGTCATTATGAAAACTCAAGCTAATTTATTTATGTTGTGTTCGATATATCATATACAGCTATAAAATTTTAATCTCAGCTTTTGTTGTTTCACTAGAACGTGATCGCGGTGAACGCGACTACATTGGATTTGCTACATTGCCTGAACAGGTGCACCGCAAATCAGTGAAGAGAGGTTTCGACTTCACTCTAATGGTTGTCGGAGAATCGGGCCTCGGAAAATCAACATTGATAAACAGTTTATTTTTAGGAGATCTTTACAAAAATCGAAAAATTCCAGATGTTCAAGGTATTCAATAATTTACTACTTATGTTACCAAGAAGCTCTTTCATATTATGACGACTTTTATAATGTTTTCGTTCTGTAGATAGAATAGAAAAAACGACGACAATCGAAAAGAAAACTATGGAAATAGAAGAACGAGGCGTCAAATTACGTCTGACGATTGTTGACACGCCTGGCTTTGGAGACGCGATTAACTGTGAAGATTCGTGGCGCGTTTGTTCGGCATACATCGACGAACAATTCAGACAGTATTTTACTGATGAAAGTGGTCTGAACAGGCGACATATGCAGGACAACCGAGTTCATTGCTGTCTTTACTTCGTTCCGCCTTGGGCGCATAGGTACGCATCGCTACGTAAACTAATTCTATTCATAGTTTTCTTTGTTGGGAAAGTATCTCATTTGAGACACTGCTAGCGGAACTGCACTCATCAACATGTTCCGCTATCTGGTTGCTTAATTTACATAATTTGACAAACTCATTTAAACATCACGTTTTCTTTTCGAACCTAGCTACGATACGCGGACCGGTTCCATGCCACCCAATATTAAGTGGTTACTGAAGACCGTGGACAACAGGAATGCCGTTGTCCGTCTTGAAGCATTAGATTAAAATTTCAAATTCATCATTCAATTCGTTGATTCAGTGTCTACCTTATCCATAGAGTAAAGTAGAGTAAGTAATGTATCTAATAGTCGTCGTGGCCTAAAGCATAAGACGTTCAGTGTGCTTGTACTCGTATCAAGCGATGCGATTATACCGGTGTTCCAATCCAACAGACGGGTATATAATTATTTAATGAAATACGTACTTAATTCATGTCGACAATCAAATAAGTCAACACATAATTTACCTAATACTCCGGTATTCTAAGTCCGCACCTGTAGATACCACTGTCCAGCTTATTTTTTGCCAGTCATGCGTTTTGGTTTGAAAAGGGGCATCAGTTATACAAGATAATTGTGACTTCACCCATAAGTATTTTACTATACGGGTGCGACATTTCCTTTGCGATGTCTAGAGGTCCGATAGCAAATTAGCACCAGAGGTGCTATGATCCTGATCACGCAGGAGCCAGTCACCGTCGACGCCCTAGACACGTCCTTACGGATCCATCAGATCCAATAACCTTTGCATTAGACGCCTTCAGCTCTAACACTAGGAGCAGGCTTAAGGACCTCGGTAACCGTACTCGTCGATATCGGCAAAGAGTTCGTCGTGCAACCTAACCCATGAATCAGCTCGCTGAGTTTCTCGCCGGATCTTCTCAGCGGGTCGCGATTCCGATCCGGTAGTAGATTCATTCGCGAAGCAATTGCTCTTGAGTTGTTAGGTCTCCTTCGGAGGCGCTCGGGCAGTTGTTAGCAAATCCCGCCCCTCTTGGCTGAGCCTTTGCTCGCCCACCTGTCCTGGTGAAACTGGAAAGGCCACAGGGCCACCAGTGATCCTTCAATCAAAAAAAAAAGGTCTATGACTTATTCACTTGTCTACGCGAAATAAAAATATTGGAAGATACAACTACAAGATATATAAGATATACGATCGAACTACAATCTTATTGTAAAACGGATGTCTCATCATTCAAAGCGGAATGCATCTGGGCAGAAATGTGCAGGACCATGGTACCTTATCATAAAGGTTTATAATACATCCTTCTAGTAAATACCAGCTGGCGTTCTTAGTACGCATGTAGATATAAGAGAATGCTGTTGTCCAGTTAACCCCTTAATTGCCCTTTTACGATATCCACAAGAAGAGACGGCGTGGTACGGCTCTAGGCCAACATCACTCGTTATCGCTGAGTTTCTCGCCGGATCTTCTCAGCGGGTCGCGATTCCGATCCGGTAGTAGATTCATTCGCGAAGCAATTGCTCTTGAGTTGTTAGGTCTCCTTCGGAGGCGCTCGGGCAGTTGT